AACAAAAAAATTTTTCAGACATCAAGATAGGAATTGTTTGAAAATAAAATAAATTATTATTAAAAAAATTCTTAGACTTTGGGACCTAATCACGAGAAAAGTCTTACAAATTTTAAACTTTTCTAATGGCCCTAAAATTACATTTGCCAAAAATACATACAATTTATTTTTTACACATTTTTTACAAAAATTAAAAGCAATACATACAATAAAACTACACAAGGCAAAAAACACAATAACAAAATAATAATGGGCTAAATTCAATATTTAATTAATCGTCTATTTGATCACGCCACTTAAGTTTATTGATGTCCGAACTAGTATCATGGCATATTTGTTTAAACATTTTATCCTCATTTCCATTACTGCAACACACAAGAATGCTATTTCCATCATCATTCACGTAGAACATTCCCTCAATGAAATTGTTGAAGCATCTATTTTGTGTACTAGGCAGAAACCGTCCAACCCAGGTGTCACGTTCCCCGTCTTCTCGAATACTATGTTCCATTCCTTGGTTAAGAGCAAAGTTTGTCCCATTTTCTTTATATTCGGGTTGACAAAAGTAGGCCTTTTCTGCTTCAACTCTCTCCCCTATATAACAGGCACGAAGCGCCCTAAGGGCTCGATGAATTCGTTCGATTCCTACGGTGCGCTCTAGTAGCAACGGGATATCATAACGGCAACCAGTCTGGAAAGTAAAAAAATATTTTTTTGATTAAGTCTTTGCTTGATCACATACCAAGTACAACAACCGTCCTCTCTTCTTATTTTCAATAAGGAAGGCAGGGAATTCCCATCCGAGATTCTCTTGTTCGTAGATGAAGAAACAACCTGAAACGGAAGGGATAAAAAAATTTTCAATATTAATTTCTCTCACCCGGTTCTGTGCAATTCCTTTTCTTCCCATTCCCTCTCGTTGCAAGTGCAAGATCATAAAGTTTTGCAGTGATAGGGCACTCGTGACTTTTAGAAGGATCCACCTTTTCGTCCGCTTCTTCTTCTGGAATTTTTGGGGCCTGGTTTACCATAGTAGTTGGAGGTTGGTTTGTCATAGTAGTTGGAATTGTAGTTGACGAGGTTAGAGCTGGATTTGTTGCAGGAATATCCTTTGTGTTGTTTGTCGCGTATGTAATATCTCTTAGCAAAAGAACAACCAATGAGATGAACACGAAGTTTAAGCTTGCCCTCATATTTTTGAAGAATATTGAAATGATTTGATAATTTTGTAAAGGAGTTGAGAATTTGTAAATAGAACATTGTTCCTTTTATACCAGCAGAAGGGTACAAAAAATCTTTTAATTCTTTTATTTTCTTCCTTTTATGCTTTTTTATGTAAATAAAAGGTTGTTTTTCCAAAAAAAAGTACGAAAATATGTGCAGAAAAATATGTATGTAATTGCCCAAAAATAACAATTGCGTCATTCGGGTTTAATAATAATCCTTCAAAAGCTTGCCAAAACACCCAGACTGCTAAATATAGATTTTGGAGCTTTTTATGGTCAGCTTTTATTTTTTAAATAGAGAAATTGAGGTTTTGAAGCAAGGATAATTTCCCTACATTATTTTTAAAAACTTCTCCTCAGGTCCAATAATATTTCAAAATAATAATTTTTAGTTAACATTTACATGCTTGATAACAATTATTTTACATTAATTATTCTTACTTTCATTTCAATTATATTTCTGGTTTTATTTATTGGAACTATAGCTATTCTTCTCAAAATTTATTTCATTAATTATCAAAGAAGAAGAAGCCTCCACCCAAACAATGAGGCCAAGGTTATGACAGCTTCTGATTATTCAAGAAGCATTGCTTCTCATCAGAGAAAAGAAGGCATACAAGGCCAACAAAATACTAAAATAGTTCACCCAATTAACCAACCTATAAGTAAAGTTTCTATTCAACAAGGAGAGATTGAACCTGGAATTATTTTAGTCAATCCAACACCAAAAACAGTTACTCCTTCACAAACTTCAATCCCTAGAATTGAAGTAAGCAAAACATCTCAAGGAACTAATCGAGTTATAAATAACGGCGGACAACAAATAAATACTGGTAGTAACCAAGAGATGAACTGTAAGAAGATTATTCTTAGGGTTGCCGTTTTCGAGTCGGGCCGACGTTCGAGTCATTTTTTTCGAGCCGGCCGACCGAGTCTTTTTCGGGCCAAAATTCGATGCCCGACTCGATCTTTCGGACCGACCGGCAACCATAATTATTATGTAAGACTTGAAGAATTTATTTAATTAAGGTGAAAGCTTAAAAGAAAGTATTGCCAGTAGTAGCATTATAATTGGGCAAGATGATGGAGTTGAGATAATAAATTCAAATACTTCCAGCAATTCGGCAACTCCTTGTTGTTTGGAAGAACAAATGTTGAGTGAATTAAGACATGAAAATGTTGGACTAGCAAGAAGAAAAGTGAGGAAAATTCTAAAATACACTAAATGTTTTTTTAATTATAAAGGAATTTAAGTCAGCTGTGTGGATAAGTAATAATAATGGTGTTGATGACAAATAATAATTGAAATTAAGTTTACTCAGAATTATTCATGATTTGTGCAGTAAAAATTGTTGATTTTTCAGATAGCCATGAAAGTGAGGAAAATTCTTTCCATTATTTTTTTTCGATTTTTTCGTAATCGTAATTAGTAACACAAAATTCTCCATAATTTGTAATTAAATCCAATTTTGCTACTACTGAACTTTTCACTAATTAATTTTTTACCTAGAGGTCGGTAAAATCGCATTCCCAGGATTCTTCAAAACTTTTTACGGGACAGAATCCCGCGTGATCAATCCCGTAAATCCCGTTCGTCGCTTAAAATACAGGATTTCGGACTGGATCCCATAAAATCCCGTACGGGGTCCTGTCCCGTGCCAACCTCTAGTTTTACCTACATATTTTATTTTGTACCATTTTGTCGTTCTAGCATTTTGTCACGACGTCACAAACAAATAAATTCATCGAGGAAAAATTTGATGAGTAATATTTGTTTTTCCTCTCTGTTTTGTCTTATTACAAGTCCAAAAAATTTATTTGTTTCTCTTAATTTTTATTATCTTATCCATTGTTTTTAAATTAATTTAAAAATTTTTTTTATTTTTTTTCATAAATTGTTGAATGGATTTTAATTTAAAAAAGCTGGTCAACGATGCCGGCGGTCTTTTTAACCGCGCGAGGCAGTTGACAGAAGAGAAATTACTTAATGCTGAACGTACAGAAATCGACCCACAATTAGAGCAATTGTTACAGCGTGTAGATGCTACTGAATTTCATATGACAAAATTATACTCTGCTTTAGATACTTATCTGCAGCCTAATCCTGGTCTGTTTTTCTTTTCTTTAAATTATTTGCCCTCCCTTTTTTTTAATTTGATTTTTATTTTTGAGTTCTTAACGTTTTTTGGGTTTAATAATAATTCATAATTTTTAAGCGGTTCGTGTTGGTAACGCGATAAATGAAATGTTAGAGCGAAGAAATTCAACAGAGCAACGTGTTAACAATTTGGAATATTTGGGTTCTGCAATGTTGGGAGCTGGGCAAGCATTTGGTTCTGAGACAAATTTTGGCAATGCCCTTCTTAAAATGTCCACAGCAGAAATGAAATTGGGTGCTGCAGAACGCGAAATGATGCAAACAACTTCAACACAAACATTAGCTCCAATTAAACGCTTTCTTGAAGGAGATGTTCGGAATATTTTGGTTTATTTTTAATTTGTTAGTTGTTTAAAATTATTTTAAATTTAGAAAGAGCGACGTGTACTTCAAAACAAACGATTGGATTTGGATTCCGCAAAGGCTCGTCTTAAGCGTGCACGATCGCTCGAATCTCAAGCAAGCGTAAGTTTAATACTTTAATTTTTGAGTAAATTAATAGATTTTTTTAATTTGGGATATTTAAAGGGGGCTGATTCTGGATTGATTATTGAACAGGTTGGGATTGGTGTTTGTCTGTTTATTTGTGTTTTGTTGATTTTGTCGGTCCTTTTTTGGTGTCAAAGTTTTGTGTTATGTTAAAAGCCTCAAACCTCTGAAATCCTTATTAAATTTGATATTTCCTTTTCATTGTGAGGCCTTAATCCTTTATGAAATTCATTTCTAATTATTTTAATATTCGATACTTTTAAGGTCGAAGCTGATCTTCGTGTGGCCCAGTCTGAATATGATAGACAACTTGAAGTTATGCGTATTTTGATCGAATCAGCAAATTCGGCTCAGGTTTATTTTTATCTTAAAATATTCAGTCTATTTCAAAATCATAGAATCAACATTTGAAAAATTTGATGGAATTTGTGGATGCTCAAGCAAAGTTTTATGAAAGTGCACACCAACATATGGCTGATTTAAAACGGGAACTGAGCACGCGGTTCGATCTTTTATAATAGGGATATTCTTATTTTAATATTTCAAGAGGATGTTTTAAAATTTAATTTTTTTCAGTTCAAATGGGGGACCGATGATTTGAAGACATTGTTAGGAATAAAATATGTAATAATGAAAATGTAATATCCAAAAATATTTTCTAGATGCCTTTTTAATAAATAAAGCTTTTCATGTCAATTTTTGAATTTTTATTTATAAAATTATAGAAAAATACGACTGGGAATTTACAAGAAAATTACATTTCTGGGGAAAATATAGATCGCTCATTAAAATGTTTTAACGAATACAGATTGATAAAAATTAATAATCACTAGTAACAATTATTAACTGTAAAAATAAAAAGAACTAGAAAAATAAAGGGGGAAATAAAAAGATAATAAAGTTTATTGTTAGATAATTTATTTTTACTAAACGATTCTTGACATTTAATCATAAACCAGAAATTTCTGTTGGAATAACTAACCCGTCAATTTTTAAGTTCACTTAAAGGGCGTAATCCCCCCAGTCAATTTTCAACTAAAGGGGTAATCCCCACACTAAATATAAATATACTATATCTAACAATTGAAAGAGAAGAACGAAAACATGGGGTTGAAAGCGTTTCATCGTTAGCTCGCTGAATTACTTCCGTTGCTGCTGCTATTAATGTTTCCACCAACGCTGGCTTCTGGCCCTGGCAATGCAACAATATCGTCACTTGGAGGTTCTATTTTTGGAGAAATCTTTAGTACGTTGTTGCTCTTTGGATTTAATCCAGCGTTGTTGCTCTCAACATCAACGCCAATTGAGGATAATGATCCGATACCATTCTGCTGTTGTTGATATAAGCTAGTGATTGTAGTGGGAGCTAAAATAAAAAATTTAAAAATATATGGTTATCGCTAGAGTAAATTTCTTTATTTTGGGAAATTAAAAAATTTTAGTTCTTTAGTTCCCTAATCTTTAGCACATCTCCCGAAAGATAAAATAAATATAGTTTACCGTTATTTTCTAGACGTACAATTGATGCTACAATCGAATCCGTGATATGCTGATGCTGGCAAGGTAATACAGAAACGCCTGATGAGGTTAAACAATTAGCATTTGCTGGAGAAGCACCCCCAGATGGCGACATATTAACCAAATGCAAAAGAACTGTTCGATTTGGACCAGGCGGGCAAACAATGCAGACCATTTCAGATATTTGACAAACTCGAAAAAATCCAGCTTGACAAGCTTTAGTTAGAGATGAGCAAATACATCCAACAATCGGAATATCATCTGGTGAATCAGGATCTGGAACAAAACGCCGGTAATTTCGGATTGTATCGAGTGAACAAGGTAATAATTTAGAGACGATAACACTTTTGCTGACCTTAATTAGAGAAATTATAAGTAAAATAATAAAAGAAATAAAGGATACGAGTAAATAAAGGGTTTTCTGTGGGTACACCCCAACCTACCGCCGAGGCTATAACTTCGTTCAAAATTGTCGAATCCGGGAACGACCTGATATGGTTCGACTCAGCTCATCGAGGCGCATTGAGCTATACCATGGCGTCCCGAATTTGTCAATTATAAACGGAGTTATAGCCTCGGCGGTAGGTTGGGCTCGCGGTAGGTTGGTCTGCTCTCGTTTTCTGTTAGGTTTTATTTCAAACGTTCTCGCTAAAAAATTTGGGATTTACAACAAAACATCGAAAAATTTAAAGAATTATCCTAGTTAACCCATTACCTATTTAATTAAAAAAATCAACTTACTAATCTTCCATATAACAAAGCAAAAGCTCCACTATTTGTTGCTGAATCAGGTTTGATTTGTGAGAGAAATAATTCGGGAATATTGTTCGGAATTATAACCCGTTGAAAGACAATTGGTTGCATAGAAACAAGATGACAACGAACATACGGGCAAAGCATTTGATCCGGAACAAGTAAATGCTCCAACTAAAATTTAAAATTAGTTAACTTTAATTAAATGCTCTTAAATAATTCTCCTTCATAAATTTTGACCAATCGATAAAATGTTTTTTAAATTATTACTTTAGAAATCGATATAAAAAATCTAATTAATAGATTTAGCTTTAATCAGGCGGAGGGGAATTTCCAGGGGAGGAAAATTTCCTCCCATGCCACCCCTCTCCCTTCGAAAAAAATCCTGGCTACGGACCAAGCTTTGACTATAGTCAAATTAACATTAATAAATTTAAAAACCAAATTTTTATCGATTTATCACCAAAAAAGAATGAAACTTTAAGAAAAAACGAAAACCTCTTGAGCTGTCCCAGCATTATTATTTTGTGAAGATGCCCTACTTGTAGTTGCTACTTGTTGTTGATCTAAATTTCCCGCAGTTGCACTCTTTGCTGACTCTCTTTCAATCTCACCCCTACCAATTTGTAATCAATTTATTTTTTTAAAAATAAATAAACCTATTTCTGATGCGCCTTTTTAATTGTTCCGCACTAATTATAGCACTTATAGTTCTTGAATCTAAAATACATTTATCTGTTAATGACATTGAAGCATAACAAGGATGTTTTGGCAATTCTTCTACAACAACACTGAAATTTAAAAATTTTTTTTAGAAATTCCCAAAAAGAAAACTTCGAAATACGAACAGTTCACTATCCCAGTTTAAGATAAGTCGGTACAAAATTTTGGTACTGACCGACTCATCTATGCAAACTAGAGATCGGCCTGGGTCTGACCATGTCCTGGGTTTTCTCTATACCCAGAGTCCAGGTCCAGGCATTTTTTTTACCTTCCTGGGTTTTTCCTGGGCCTGGGTTTTTCATGGACTATAGGCCCAGGATCAAGTCCAGGCTTTTCAAAATTTCCGATCTCTAATGCGAACTGAGTCGTATATAGAGCGTGTATATTTGAGAAGTGTCCGCCCGTATTTATAAAATTTTCCACAAAAAATACCTAGTAAATCGAAGAAAGAAAAGAAAAGCCCTTTCCTCGTCTATACATTTACTCGAATAATAAACACCCATTTGATGCATTTCGTTAAGAAGTTGAAGACATTTTTCCAGCGTAAGACTGGGAGGTAGTTCACGCGCTCGAGCTTGATCAACCAAATCAGCAAGTCTCTTGCAAGAATCCATCGAAATGCTTCAAAATTTAATAAAAGCAAATCAATGTTGGATTTTAATTAAAAATATCTGAGAAAATTAATTTTTGAAGATTAAGCTTAATCACAAAACAAAATGTAAGCATATCCAGCTAACTAAACAGATAAATATTGATGGATTTATCGTCTTTGTTAAGAAATTTTACATTATGACATTACTGACACAAAATGTTCTACCAGCTAAAATTTATCATTTTGTCGAACTCAGTGTGTTTTTGTGGGAAAATGAATTTGATTTTCAGATTTCAGGCTTTGAAGAAAATTTACATTAAAAATTAAGTATAAAGTAGGAAAATCGTGTTTGCTGGATCCTGCATGCGGAATCTTTTTTCAAATTTTTGCGGGACAGGATTTTGCAGGATAAATCCCGCAAAATCGTGCATTTAAAATTTGCGGGATCTCGCGCGAAATTTCGTGATTTTTTTAAATTTTGAAAAAAATTCGAAAAATTACCCAGGAGGGTAAAGTTAACCTGGAATCGACAAGTGAGGTCAAGCTAGAGAAATTCAAAGTAATAATGATCAGTCTCCAGGCTGATAACTCCCGACTGATCAATCTCCTGGTTGATTACTTGATCAATTTCCTAATCCATTTTCATCTCAATATACAGTAAAAGCTCAAAAAAGAAGCCTAGCTCCAAGGAAGAAATCTGGATAAGACTGGATAATTTTTCAAATTAAAATTTAACATATTTTTCTCAGAAATTTAAAACCCAGAAAAATTTAAGACCCTAAATTTGAATTTTTCTCAGAGCATCTGATCTAACACCAAAAATTTAAACTTTGTTTACAAAAGAAAAACCTTTAACAAATCAAACAACACCGTCTCATTCAAATATTTTTTATGAATTTCACTCTAAAGGATTAGTAAATAACATTTGCCCTGGTCAACATAAAATGCCATCCTTACTCAGTCAGAAGTTTGGAATTTTGCCTCATTCAAAATTTCTCCCTTTTTCATCTTGCTCCTCTTTTAATCTTCCCATTTTTCATTCAAAAATGCACAGGGCGTGTCTAAAGATGATCCCTATATAATTGTGAATATTGCTACTCAAAAATTATTTTTGCCTTTCATTTTTAAAATTCTCCAAATTTCTTTATAAATTTCAAATTTCCATCTTAAATTCTTTGAATTCAGTAAATTTAAGTTTTCTAAAGATATGTTTGGCCTACCCGTATTTTTTTTACGATTTTCTTCAAAATCAGCGAACTCGTAAATGAAACGGGTAGACTTATCGTGTCTAAAAATTATTAAAATTAATTATTTGAGACGAGCTTCTGAGCTGGGCATTGTTCTTTAGTCATGATGATCGAAATTAATTTTACATGACTAGAACAAATGTTCTGCTTAGCGGTTCTGTCACTTAAAATGCTTTATAATCTGCGTGGAATGAGTTCTTGTATTCAACATGGGAATGAAATAATTTTTATAAATCCATTCACATGTAAGAATACTCGAGCTTATTTTATGTTGGAAAAAATAAAAATTCTTTAAAAAATTTGTTTTTAATTTTAAAATGACTTTCCCCCTTTTGTGTATTATCTTGTTGGTGAACTTGTGTTTAATTCACATTTAATAATTGTTCACCGGGAGAAAATATACAGAAGGGGAATTTGAAGTCCCTCAACAAGAAAATTAATTTAACTACTTATTCGAAAACTACTTCCCTAAAAGTCTACACCAAGAAAATTATTTGAAAACACCGAGATATTCAAACAAATCATCACTTCTCCATTCTGTTTGTGATTGCTGGTGAGCTTAAAAATGTTTTAATTTTGAAATGCTCACCGGGAGTTCACAAACAGATTGTGGATTTTGATATTGACACAAAACTTCATTAAAATTAAAATCTCTTAAAAATAAAAAAACTAGCGTTTAGTGAAGGGCATTTTCTTGTCCAAATCTGAAAATTATCACTGAATCGATTTGGCATGAGAAATGCTTTTCTCTTTACTCAAGTTAATCAAAATCTCATTTCCTTTGAATTTTATTTTTAAATACATGTGTAATTCACAAACAAAATTTATTTATAATTTTACACACTAAATACAACAATATATGAATATAAATTACACAATTGAAATTGGAAAATACATACAATGTACACAACACAAAATTAATTATCGGTTATACGCCAACTTTTAACATCATTCATTCCTCTTGTAGTTACTTTGCAAGTTTCTCGAAAATGTATCTCGCCCTGTACTGTATTAGTTCCATTACTGCAACAAACAATTCGTTGTTGTTCTAACTTCTCATCACGAACAAAGAAAATTCCATCAACGAATTTGTAGAAACAACGCTTTTGAGCGCTAGGTAAAAAACGTCCGAGCCAAGTTTCATTTGATAAAATTTCTCCATTTCCATAATTTGTAGTATCCGATTCGGCCTGACAGTTTTCATTTAATAAAAAATTTTCATCCTTAATTCCAGCAAAGCACGCTCGAAGAAATATTAGAGTTTGGTGTAAACGTAAATGGTAATTGATCTTCAAATTTTGATTTGTACTCAAAAGTAAATAGGGAATGTCTGAACGGCAACCCATCTAAATTTTAAAAATTATTTTGGGTATACAAACATTTGTCAATTACCAAAACTCTTTTTGCTTTATCCGGTTCATTGAGAAATCCAGGAAATACCCAACCAAAATTACTTTGTTCTTGAATGTAGAAACAGCCTGTAATTGAAAGATTTTTTCACTAAAAAGGAGACAATAAATTTACCAGGTTCGCGACAATATTTCTTTGGACTAGTAGGTTTACCATGCCAAGTAACTCCCATATACATCTCATAGAGAGCTTTGGTTATTCGGCATTCATATTTTGGTTCTAAAGTTTTGTTTGATCCTTTGATGAAATTTCTTGTTGTAGTCTCGTCACACAAAATGTTGGAGAACAGGCCGATGAACAATAAACTTGATAAAAGCATTTGACTAAATTGAAGCATTTGATCACACGCTGAAAAATGAATTTAGAAATGATGTAATGTAGAGATTAAATAGAAAATGAAAAGAAACGAGACTTTTATACTATCGAGTCTTAATAAGAAAGAAGCAATACTTACCAGCAATACTAATTTATTTTTTTTATCATTTTAATGCTAATTTCAAATACCTGTGTTAATCTTTATAACATTCAGGCCTAAATTTCATTCTTAGAAAAACTAACTCGCTTAGTTATAAATGGGTTAAAATTAAAAATCAACTATCAAGTTGATTAAAAACAGGGCTTCGATCTCGAATTTTTAAAAATCCGCAATTTTGATCGAAAAAATCCGCATTTGATATGAAAAATCCGCAAAAAATTATCAAACACAAAAGTTGAATTATGTCGCGAAGCGACTAAAGATGAGGAAAATAAAATAAATATATTTTTATAATTTTAATTCTAAATTAATCATCACTTTTTGCAAATTCCTTTTTCGGACTTTCACCTGGCTAAAAATCATTTTTTGCTGTAAACATCTATTCAAACTCTATTTACATTTTTAGTCCTTTTGTTCTAAAACTTAACTTTATTTTCCACTCTTTTGTATCATTCAAATATGTGCATTTTTATTTAATCGTTCCTATTATGCCTTTAATGATCGAAATATTTTTCTGTCTACCCGCCTATTTTTCTGGCCTATATAATCTCCCCTTCCAAACCCCCATTAGCTTTTCTTTTCTTGGCTTCTTTCTGGGTTGGCTGGCTTTCTCATTAGCTCATTCTCTGTTGGCTTTATTCTGTTCTGGTTCTGTGGCTCTTGTTCCTATTTGTGGCCTTATCATTAATTTACTTGTTGGACTATTTTATTTGTGTGAAATAAAACTTTTTACTATTTGTTTGGTTTTAATTTATTTGGTGGTCAAATCCCTCGGCCAACTGCGTTGGAATCTTTTGGCCTAATCCAAGCAAGCTTTTGCTGAATCTTTTGTTGGTGGTAAACCCTTGGCCAATTGTGTTGGAATCTCTTGGCCTAACCCTGCCTTTTTTCGGAATAGTTTATTGGCTCTATTTTGCTATATATTTTTTTGGTGCAACGGCCGGGAACTTGTGGTCTAGCATTCGTGCAGCATCACAACCCCGAGCAGCCTGTGTTCAATTCAAGAAGAGCCAATTGCCGAAACTATTGATCTATTGTTGGAACGCGCTTTATCTACTGTTGCAACTTTCTGAAGCCACCTGCCGCTAATCTGTACGACGACAATGTCAGGAAAAATCCGAAGTGATTTGTTGGTCGCTCTGAGCGAGATGCAATTCCATTCTATAGAGGCTATGCGTATAACGAAGATGGAACGAGATGCTAACACTTACCGTTTGCTAGATGTGGAAAAATCGCATTTGGTGGAAACTATTGCTAAAATAGAGAAGCTCGACCTCCAATGGAACAAACATATGTCCAAACTGCATGGGCTAAAGAAATTAGCGGAAGAAGATTTATACAGGGATTTTCCATCTAATGAACCTTCCTATGAGTTCATGTCAGACTTCATACCCTCTCAACAGCACTTTGTTACCCAATGCAAGTTTGCCCGACAAATGGCCGTATCAATTGGACTAATTATGGAGGATCTTGGCCCACCTACTAGAGACAGTTCTTGCCCATCTGAAATGAACAAATTGTCAGATAACTGTGCATTCGATCTTGGAAACCAAAAAAGGGAAACGCTTGAGCCGCCTACGCCACATCCGCCTAAGCCACAGCCGCCTATGGTTAAAAAGGATCGAGTGGTGGAACAGAACCGTTGCCTGGAGTGCTCATTATGTAGAGGGAATCACCTTCCGAGCCACTGTACTAAATATAGCAACCCAAAAGCGAGGAAATACAAATTACTCGAGCAGCATCGTTGCCTTAACTGCCTGAGGGATGACCATCTAACCTTTGATTGCCAGAATAATCGACGGTGCAGTAAGTGTCGCGGAAAGCACCACTTCATGGTTTGCTATTCATGCGTGCCAAAAACTCAAATGTTGGAACCTATGCGAAAAAGCGATGTTCATTGTTCGAAGCCGGCTGGGATGTTTGAAGCTAAAAAGATGCTGGATGGAAAGACGAAAGCTCTCCAAGAAAAAGATAAAACGATAGTGAGATTGATGTCTGAATTGATGTTGGCCCGCAAAAAAGCCGAGGACGAGTCCAAAAAAGCTAAACGTTTGAAATGTCTATTGGATGAATCTAATCAAAGGCGATCTAATGGCGAGCAGGAAAGTGGAACCCATAAAGGGACTAAAACCCGTGTCAACTCCATTCAAAAGGCTAACCGAAAATTGCTTGCTAAAAATGATCAGCTCAAATGTGAAGTACACGTCTACCGTAAAAAATGCCTAAAACTAGAAAGACTGGAACCACCAGATTTCTTTGCCATTTGCCGCTCATGGATTGATATGAAAATGTTTGTGCTAGTCTTAGCCGCCTTTGTTATGATTCTGGATGGCAATAAAAATGCTCTGAGGATGATTGACCGCGCAACAAATAAGTTTTGGAAATGTAAAACAGAAGAAAAGATGGAACAAGAAGTGACCGCGAAACATGGCCTAAATAGAGCACGCATAAAAAGCTTACTTCGATCTTCGATAGCCTTAACACTGTTCACTACCGTTGTCGCGATCAATCCAGGCTGGATCTTTGTCGTCATTTTGTTCAGTACTATGGATGGTTGGGCGCATGCACTGAAAGAGAGCAGAAAATGTGCGATGACTGATGTGCCGAAGATCAAGAAAAGAAAGAAAATACTTGAAAGATGGAAAAAATAAATCGAGGATGAAACTTTAGACGCGGGCGGGAATGTCGCGAAGCGACTAAAGATGAGGAAAATAAAATAAATATATTTTTATAATTTTAATTCTAAATTAATCATCACTTTTTGCAAATTCCTTTTTCGGACTTTCACCTGGCTAAAAATCATTTTTTGCTGTAAACATCTATTCAAACTCTATTTACATTTTTAGTCCTTTTGTTCTAAAACTTAACTTTATTTTCCACTCTTTTGTATCATTCAAATATGTGCATTTTTATTTAATCGTTCCTATTATGCCTTTAATGATCGAAATATTTTTCTGTCTACCCGCCTATTTTTCTGGCCTATATAATCTCCCCTTCCAAACCCCCATTAGCTTTTCTTTTCTTGGCTTCTTTCTGGGTTGGCTGGCTTTCTCATTAGCTCATTCTCTGTTGGCTTTATTCTGTTCTGGTTCTGTGGCTCTTGTTCCTATTTGTGGCCTTATCATTAATTTACTTGTTGGACTATTTTATTTGTGTGAAATAAACCTTATTACTATTTGTTTGGCTTTTATTTGGTGTTCTAATTCCTTGGCCAATTGTGTTGGAATCTTTTGGCCTAACCCAGCTTTTGCGAAATCCCTATTTGTGTATTGGCTCTCTTTTGCTATAAATTAAAATCACTTTATACTTTATATTTTTTGGCTCCAACAATTGAATTGAGCAATTTTTATCCTACTAATGACTATTTTATTAAAATCCGAACAATTAAAGGAAAAATTATGTTGACTTGAGCCAGGCCCGTAGCCAGGATTTTTTTCGGGGGATGGGTGGGGGGAAAGGGGGGAAATTTTTTCTATGCCAAATTTTTGGCGCCGAAGGCGAAAAATTTTTATTTTAAGCGCCGTAGGCGAAAATTTTGAGAATTTTAGATGGCTGTAGGCCAAAAAAATTCACTTTTTAGCGCCGCAGGCAAAAATTTTTTTACTTTTGGAGCTCAAGAAACTAGATTTCATACATTTTTAGCGCCGCAGGCAAAAATTTTACGGATTTTGGAATGCCAATAAGCCAAAAATCGCCCCTTTTCAGCGCCGCAGGCGAAAATTTTGCGGATTTTGGGAGGCCATGAAGACAAAAAATTACATTTTATCCTAAAAACTATAAGAAAATACAAAAAATCCTCATAATCTTGAAAAGACCACAAAAATCCGCAAATCCGCATTTTTAAAAATAATCCTCATCGCCCTATCAAAAAACCACAAAATGAGGAAAAATCCGCAGAAATCGAAGCCCTGATTAAAAATAATTTTTTATTCTGCTAGAGAATTCTTTAAACTTTAAAAAATATGTACATACATATTTATTTTTTTAAAAATTTATTGATAATTATCTTAAAAACAAGAAGAATTTTGGACTAGGTGTTTCCACACTTTTTCACCTTACTAAATCAAAATAATATCAGCTTATGCGGTAAAAATCAAAAAAATAATTTTATTAATACATAAAGCTTTATTAATTTAAAATAATTATAAAATATTAATAAAATATCACAAGAAATTTAAAAAATAATTCGATGTTAGTTTTCCCTAAAAATCACAAAGTTATTAAATTAGAAATTAAATAAATTAATTTTTAATTTATTCTTTCCAAGAATATGTCGTCTTCCAAACTTCTGCTAAACCTAAAATATATATTTTTATTTAATTAAAAGTACGTAAAAACATACAAACAGAACTATGGAACCGGTAAAAAATTGTTAGAGGTGAAAAAGAACGAACAAGGAATACCCTTAAAAATAAATAAGCTTTTAAAAATAATTTTTTTTATTTCCTACCAACTCCTCTTTCCATAAAAATTAACAACAGTTTCACTAACCCCAGCCTTCTCAGCTTCTAATAAATTCATAAGAAACATTGAAATATTTGCTAGCAATAAAAATGTTATTGCTTGTTTTCCTGGTTGTCTTTCACGCAAAATGGGGTCATTACCAACACGAAGTTTTCCCTTTAAAATTTCAAGTAATTTTGAAATTAGGCTTGATAATACATATTTTAAAATTAATTTTTATTTTATTTTAATTGGAAAACAAAAATAAAATATACAAATAGTTTTCTAAGCAAGGGGGATTCTTATGGAACAATTTTTAGCAGTAAATTAATTTTAAGTGTATCAGAATTAATCTGGATATTTTTAACTAATAGTCCAGTCAAATCTCTCTTAAATGACACCCGTCCCAGCTTACTTTCCTTCAAATCCGAGCTTAGTTCTATCCCGAGGGAGGTGAAATTAATGTCCATTATATTTTTTATTTACTTACAGCAATATAAATTAAACAGCTTTGTAAGGCAACCTAAATTAATTAATTACAATACTAATTATTTTAATTAAAAATACCTCAATAATTCTAGTTACGTGTACCTAAATTTAAATTAAAGTTAAATAAATTTATTAAAAATATTACAGCTAAAAGTATAATAGTTAATGGCTGCCAATTTGGATCACCGGTTAATCCAAGTAGTCCAGCCACAGAATAAATCATTTCTCCTGTCTTTTTTTAAATAAAAATATTTTTTTCTAATTAAAAAAATTTTTTTAGCTACCATTCCAAATGCCAATAAAATCATATCCAATAATTCCTTTAAAATATTAAATTTTTTATAAAAAGAAAGAGTTTAGCAAAAGTTTAGGGCACTTGTAAAGAAGGGGGTGCTCGGTGCCATTTTTCGGCAGATATGTAAAAAATGGTCAGTCTATCAAAGTGAATTTATAAAGTTCGTCGAGCTTTCGCTCACCCTATACAGGAGCTATACCACTAAGCTACCGGGGCGTAGACTAATGCTTTCTCTTTTATCGTGTTAGATCGTTTAACCCCCGCCTAAGCGTTTTAAATGCTCTAGGTGAATCATCCTTACAAAAATTTTATCAAAACATTTTAAAAGTTTACTTGATTATTTGCTTGGCAAATAGAGGAAGGTGAAGAAGATTCTGTAGAATTATTTGAAGATAAAGAATAAATTGGAGGGGCATTAATTATTTGATTAGTTTCTTTATTATTATTAGAATAATTTTGATGTGAATGAAAACGTAAAAGACGCATCCTTAAAAAAATTAGAAAAAAAATTTAAAATTAATAAGACCTCCAAAGGGCAACAATACACCCACAAGTACTAATTAAATACTTAAAAGGGGTTTTTTAATTTTTAAAAAATTTTTAGAATACAAACATGAACAATATCAGTAAAGCCAAATACTGTAGCAGCCAGTTGATTTTGACCCATAATTGTATAACCAGAAAATACAGCCATGGAAGTAAAAGTACCAGCAAGAAAAGCAAGTCCAAAGAAAAGTCCTAAATTTTTAAATAAAATAGAAAAAAATTTTTTCTAAACCAGTTGTGCTTTTAGAGCAATCTAATCGAATTCTGTGTTTTCTTGGGACATAACCACTAAACAATATTTTTTAAATTTAATTATTAGAAGTTTATTTACAATCTCTCAACAGGATTTTCAACTTTTCCAATATTTCTCCAAACAATAAACATTACTGCAGCGCCAATAAGAGAATATTCAACAATACTTCAAAATTAAAAATAAAAAAATATTGGTCAAAATTTCTTATTTATTTATAAATCTAATAAAATTAGACTTCAAGTTGATGACTAAAGTTGTCGGATCCGGATATCCGGAAAATTTCGGTTCGGATCCTAGAATTAGGAAAAATTCGAAAAATTTGGCTCTTTGGCCTTCCAAACTTAAAAAAATTTTCGCCTCCGGCGCTGACTCATTCTTCAAATAAATCTCTGTTAATCCTAGATTTCCTCGATACCTCTATGATTTCCCCAAATCCATTAATAATTGGTCAAAATGGATACGGATCCGGAAATCCGAAGACTTCCAACTATCCCACAACCTTATTAGTAACCAAAAAATAATTATAAATTGTTCCAACCTTGTATACATTACTTCGTTGAAACTTGCTAAAAATTAATTTATATATGTATTAAAAAATAAAGCTTAAGATTATTTTTAAATTTTAAATATAATTTAATTACCAAGAACACATTCAGCCCCCTCACATTTACGCATAAGTGAACGTCTAGCTACATTAGATTCTTGAGAATTTTCTTCATTTAATAATGGCAACAAAGAGTTTGTAATATTTTTATTTAAATTTTTTTCCAATTCTTCACTTCCCCAATCATCATTTTCATTATTATTACCAGCAATATTTCGAGCAAAAACTTGTCTTTTTTATTTAAATTAAAATTATTTTTATTTCTCTGGATTACCTTATTTCATCCCCCATTAACGATTCTTCAATTAAAATATAACGAATCCAAATCCAAAGATTTGTGGCCACCAAATGCATTGTTCCAAACCGACAAATTGTTTGGTATTGACTTATAGTTAACTTTAGAAAAATATTTTTTTCGAAAAAAAAAATATTTTCTAACCTTCCAATTACAAAAAACAAAATGCATTTGTGTAAAAACAAAAATTATGGAAAGTAAATCTAACCAAATAAGGTAATTTTGTTGGCAAGTTGTATCACTAATACAGAGAAAAACGTTGAAAGCATAATAAACTGTGCCGATAACACCAAAAACTAATGTAAAATTTTAAGGAATTTTTAATAGAAAAAGAGAATATTTTTAAGTAAAAAACAAAAAAATACAAATATTTATAATAAGTACCCGAAATTTAGCACCTCTTCTCTATTAATTACCCCCTCCAGCGAAAGGTCGAAACAATAATTACCCAAAGTAATTGTTCGAGCATTTACGGTAGTTCAGTCAAATCTCTTATATGGCACACGCTCCCAGCGAAGTATATCGAACCCCTATATATCCCACCCTGTATATACTCGGGTGATCCCCTATAATAATACATATAATCCTTTTATTTATTCACCTACACATCCAAGACGAAGAAAAAGACTTCCGGCACTTGGACTGCTATGGCTAACCTTTTTAAAAAAAGATATTTAAACTGAATAATTCTGTATCTAAAATATATAATTTTAACACATACTTTCCTCTCTGTTGCCTGCTGGAAAATGCTTTGACTTGATTCGCTTCTAAATTATTAACAAAAAAATAATTAAATAATCATTTAGATTAATTGTTATCCAAAATCTTAATAATATACACATTAATTCAAATAAATTACCTAAAATGCACAACTAATGCCCCTATTTTTCTTTTCCATTTTGGGTGTAACAAAAGAGCAATATAACAATAAATTAAAAATATAATTGAACTTCCATACATATATAAACCAAAAATCTAGAAAAATATTCCTTAAATTTTATATTAAAATTATTTAACCAATTCTTTAATTCCCATATTTCTTCTATTTTTTGTATCACCAGAAATTATATGAGAAAGTTCGAAAACTAATGAAAAAATAGTTGCCAACATTGCATAAAAGAAACTTAAAGCAATCATCATTGACTTTCTTTAAAAAATAAAATTTAAAAAATTAAGGTAATTTTCCGTCATATGCCCACTAATCTTTAGCTTTACTTTAGCAGTTGGTTATAATTTTGTTTAAAATCATTGAATCAAGCTGATTTTAGTGTTATTCGACACAGCTCGACGAACTCTTTCGAATGATTTATCATTTTTATATTCCGAAAATGAGCCTTTGGTTCCAATTTTCGAAAATCTATATCTCAGTCCTTAAAAATTTCCGATAATAGAAAATGGGTTCGACTTAGACCGACAAGACGAACGAAAGATATTACAGCAAAAGAATTTGTGGGCATTTAAAGGAAAAGTACCAAAATTAATTTTAATAAATAAAATTAGAAATAGGAAAAATATTTTCGAATTTTTAAATAATTTAAAAATATTTAAATGTGATTTGTGAATTTTTGAAAAATTTTGGTCACAAATATACATAAACAAAAAATTGTCTTATAAAAATAAAATTGAATAAAGATGCTTTGGGTGCGCTAAGAAAATTGTTTTTGATTTTTTAAAAACAAACAAAGAAAAAAATTTAAAAAAAAGAACTGACAAAACAATTCTTAAAATTTATAAAAATAGAGAGGTTGAAAAAAATCTTGGGAAATTAAAACACTCAACTATTAAATTGGGCAATTAAATATAAAATTTTTAAATCCTTTCTTAAATTCTAAAGAAATTAAAAAATCAAAAAGTTAAAATAAAATTAAATAATAAGTAGGGATTGTTGGGTTATTAGAAAATCTTCGGATATCCAGAACCGAATCAAAGAACTGAACCGAAAAATACTTACCGTATTTTCTCGTTTAATTCCCCTCCCTTGAATAATTCCCCCTCACGATTAATTCCCCATGCTATAGTTGGGTTGAAACAATAATTCCCCACCCCCAAATACCCTACTCCACGTTCAAGTGCCAAAACTCGAATAATTCCCTTCCCTCGATTAATTCCCCATGCAATGAAGGATTGAAAAAATAATTCCCCAAGGGAATTAATCGAGAAAATACGGTATCTCTTTTTTGTAAAAGGTTTGGTTTCGAAACAACAACAATTCTACTAACAACAATTAAATATTTATGTTTATTACCTTGCAGTAGGCTGGTCTACCCAACGTAGATCTGCCAACCTCTTCCCTTTATTTTCACTTAATGGACAAGTTGAAATTTGAGAAGGAGAAGGGGAATTATTTTCTGCAGATTTTTGTTGTTTCTGCTTCTAAATTTAGAAAATAATTTTTGTTATTTTTTTGAAAATTTTTCTCAAATACAAAATAAAAATTTAATTTTTATTTTCAAGTATTTCAAAAATATTTTTTGAAAAACAAACTTTTTGTTGTTGCCATTTTCCCTGATCATTTTTTAAAGAAGAGAGGCAAGTTGAAGAAGAAATTAAAGAAGATTTGGGTGTTTGGAAAAGATTAATAGGAGGGGGAGGGGGTGGTTGTTCTAAGTAAAATTGTGTTTGATTTGCTGCTGATTTTTCTTTTTTTAACGAAGAAATTGAGAAATTAACATTCTAAATTAAATTAGAAAAATAAATAAACAAATAAATTTTAAAATTTTCCCATGTTAAAAATTTTTTAAGCGCCAGCATTTCGTATTTTGAAAATTTTAAAAGATAGTTTAATTTTTAACCAAAGAGTTCATTTGCAAGTATGGACTTACAAATAAGTACAGTTTCAATTTCGTAAGTACGGAGGTCGGTTTATAAGTATGTACTGGAATTCCAAAATAAGTGCGAAAAAAACTAAATATAAAAATTACCTCATTTTCAGAATTATTTGTATTATTATTTAGATTATCAAAATCTGCCTGCATTTCTTTCAAATTATCATCTTCAAAATTTCGTTTTTCATAACGGTATTTTGAAGGTGGTGGATATGAACGACGTCTTTGTTCTTCCTCTACTTGCTAATAATTTTTAAAAATTATTCAAAAAATAAATTAAATTATTATGTATTTTAAAGGAAAGAATACATATGTAAAAATTTAAAATAATATTTAATTTTTGTTTTGAAAGAAATGAACCATTAAAATTTAAATTAAAAACAAGTATGTATCTTATTTAGGTAAATGTAGTATGAATATAGTATGAAGTTTGAATATAGTATATGAACATAAATAAATACTTTCCTGTATTTTATAACTCTAGATTTAAATAATACACCTGTTTTTCTAAAGTAACAAAGTTTGAAGGAAAAGAATCAAGGGAGGGTTGTAAATCAGTCGATGAATCATTTTTATTATGAGGTAATTTAGAATGATGAGAACGCCGACGAGCGGATGGCACAAAAAATAATTCAAACAAATCATTCATTTTGTACAACAAAATAAAAAGAGAAAAATAATTATCTTGATAAATTTAAATATATTTTTTTGATTTTAATTTGAAAATATTTTTTTAAATTTAGGTAGACTTAATAAAGTTTTTGCAATTTTTTACGTTATAATTTTGAATGGACAAGGAACGGACAAATAATTTAAAAATCTAACAAAGATGGACAATATGCATAGAACGGCTCATCATTAAAGGACAGTCAAGTGTCCTCGAATATGTGACGAAAAATAATTATATAAAGAGATTGTTCAAGAATTTTTATGATTTATTAAGGAACAAAACAGGTAAAAATTAAAACTAGATTAAAAGTATTTTAAATATTAAATACACCGGAATATATTTGTAGATAAAATATTTGTAAATTAGTAACTTCTTTTTAGAATTAGGTTAATAAATAGTATTTTCAAGTTATTATTATCTAGTTAAAAAATATTTAATAATTGGACAAATAATTATTTCCCAAATATGTTCAAATATGTTTCTATTACTAAAAACTTTGAATAAATATTTAAATCAAAGGGATGTTTATTAAAGAAATGAAATAGGATGTAAAAAATAAACATGATCGTTTAAAAATTTATATTTACCTTTAACCATGTTCGAAGCATTGCTTGTTTTCCTATTAATGTATGTTCATTATTTTGATTAAACAATTGTGGTGTTAACATATTTAAAGGGATTTTTTCAAATAAATATACATAGCTAGTACAAAATGATTTTTAGTTAATTTTATAAAAATATTTTCTGATTCATAAACTTAAAAGGCAGAAAAAGCTTTTTTTTATTTATTTAGAGGGCAGCAGTAATGTTACAAATAAAAATAAACGACATTTAAAATTTTTTAAAACCAGTCATTTGAATTTAAAAAAGGCAAAGATAATAAACGTTATAATTAAATTTCGAAATTAAAAGTATCCTTTATTTATATATTTTTAAAATTATTTTGTAAAAAAATAATTTACAATTTTTTCTAATAATTTAATTATTTATTTACGCAAATTTTGAAATTTTTTTAAAAAATGAAGGTATGTTAACAAAATTAGATGTCATTACCGAATATTGTTCGTCACAATTATTTAAATTCTTTTACCTTATATTAAATAATTATGCAAGTAAGTGTTGCTTTATAAAATGGTATGCACAAATTCGCTGAAAATATAACGCTAATAGAATTTAATGATCATTAAATTAAAAAAATTAAAATAAAATCAAGACAATAATAAATTTGGTAATTTAATAGAAATAAAAGTTTTTTAAGTAAGATCCGGTCATTCGGCTTTAGATTATATCTTTTAGAAACCAAAATCGTTAAGGAAATAGTACCGAAAGTTTGGTTAGGCTAAGGCAAGGAAGACCCCTAAAGTTCTAAAGTTGAAAAAAAACCTGAGGGTGGCAGAGTGATAATTCTTCTAAAAATGATCACCTTCCGCAAGTAAAGGGAGATGTAAATGCAAAAGCTTCCTCACATAACGATATCATCAACATACCTATTGGAGTCTATCTAAATCCACTTAATCCAATTGTCTGTTGTGCCCGTCACTGATCGAGAGTAATTCTTGACCTTTTGCTTTATTTTACATCAGTCGACATAGCCTAGTTTTTACTTATTTAAACGGTCATTTTAAAATTTAAAATTAATCCCTTCATTCAAACTTAACAATCTCCACAATTAATCAAAGCTTGCATCATTATGAACTTTCTAAGGCGAACATTTTTTGGATTACCGCGTCAACATGTGCCGGATACTACGGATTCTCTTCAGTCAATGATGTTTGTTGATGAACAAGGAGAAATTACATGGGAATTGTGTGAATGTGCTGTTTCTCTTCCAAGCAAAAAACTCTTAATTGGGCCTTGGTGAGTTGCTTAGACTCTTTATTGAGATTAAAAAAATTTTTTTTCTTTTCCAGTATTGCAGCCTTTAGCGGGAAAAACTCTTATAAGAATTCACAATTCATTCCGATCACTTTGCATAATAATTCAAAGCATGAATGGATTGTCTTTAAAGTGCAACATTATGAAGTGAGATTTTATTTAGTTGTTTTTGGACGTTAAAAAAATTTTTTTCCCTTAGCCAAGAGATCCTTTTCTGTCACAAGAACAACTTGCAAAATTTGAAAAGGCCTGTGTTCCTTTAATGGCTTCTCCTAATGTTGGATTAATTGGGCCCGGACAGGAAGCGGTGTTCAAACTTATTCTGCCGGGACGGAATATTTGGCCTGTTAGTCGGTGAGAATATTTTTTAAAAATTAAATTATTTAAAAATTCCAAAATTTAAAGAGAAGCAACTATCGGCAAAATGAGCTACTTTCGTATTTTACAAATGCAAGTAACTGATCCGTGGGAGGTATTAAGTGCGTTTAGCGGTAATAATACTTCGCTAACAAGAGGAATTAAACAACTCTTTGATGCATTAAATACTGCTAGAAGCTGTGAGGATGCTTTGGAGAGGGTCGGTTTTTAATTGGGAGAAATGATAAATAAATTTTTTAAATTAAAGATTTATTCTTGCGATGTTCCTATTTTCCTTCCACTGTGCCCTATAATTCTGTCTGAAACCAATTTGAACGCGGGAGCGAAAGATAAAGTTAAGAAAGATGAACAAAACAAAGTTTAAAGAATATATATCTCTAAATATTTTTGTTTTGTATTGTTGGCTAAATTTGTGTCTGTAAATATTTGTAAAAATAATAAAATATTTATTTTCATATTCTGATTAATTTTAATAATTATTAAGTTTAAATTTAACCCCATTCAATATAGGTACTTATAATTTCACTCTTCCATTTTTATTTAGAAAATAAGTTATTGTTCTTTTTTGTATTTAAATAAAGCAAGTATTTTAACAGTTACTACACCATTCATAAATTTTAACGAGTTTTAAGCGTTTTAAATGCTAACCAGCTGAAAAATTAGGGGCTGAAAACAATAATTTATGTAAATTTAACCACTTTTAGTTCACAATTAAAACAATTAAAATTAATATCAAAAATTAATAATAAAGTTTTTTATGTATATTTTTTCACATGCTCTTTATATTACTACTCTTATTTAAGAGAATTTTATTTGTTTAAAATTTAAATAAATTTAGTAAGTTTATGTAGGATTTATCTAATAATACGTTTAAATATTTATAGCCTAACATCCTTTAATACAAAAAATAATCAAAATATGATAACTTTAATGTTTAAAAGTCACGAGATATTATAACGTATATAAGCATCACCCACTCATTTTTTTAAAAAAATTGACGGAAATTAAATGAATGTAAGGCGATATATGTATAATAAATAGAGCCCGGATTTTTATGCATTAAAAAATGCAAAATATGCACTATAATATGCATAAAAAATTGCCAAAATATGCACAAAAATATGCAAGTAAACCAAAATATACACGCATATATGCATGAAAAATACCATTTATACCTAAAAATTTTACATATTTTTAGTCAATATGATTTAAAATACATTTTTTATTAAGATTTCTCCTATTTCAAATGTATAGTTCGACAAATTGAGCATTTTTACGGTGTTGGGCATTTTGAGATGAGGCATTTTGGTGGTGGGACATCTTGGGGTGCGACGTTTTGGGGCTGAGACATTATGGGGGTGGGCCATTTTCTGGCGAAACCAATAAACACAAAAATTTTTTTACAAAATTTGTAATTTTTACAAATTTTTTCCTAAATTTTCACTTTTTGGCAGGATTTTAGGCAATTTTCGCAATATTTTCCCCAAAAACCTCAAAATATGCAGTAAAATATGCATTATGCAACAAAGTCCGGAATATGCAAAAATATGCATTATATGCAAATAGAAACCCCCTCTAATGTTTTCAAAACTTGCGGAAACAGTGTTTTTTGTGCATAACACATCATGAAAAGTTTGCAAAAAAAATATGCATTTGCATAAAAATCCGGGCTCTAATAATAAATAATAAAATAAGTTATTTATATGTAGCCGATAAATAACTTTAATTAATTTTGGAACTAACATTTAACAAAAATATTTAATAGTACAGTATGTACTTAAAAATTTAATTTTATTTGTTATCTTCCTTTTAATATTAAACATCCAAGTAACACATGATTATTTGTTGCGATTTAAAAGAATTATGTAGATGAGCCGGAAATACGGCTTTATTTAAATATTTATTTTATTATAATTTAATGAGTCAAAAAATTTTTTAATTAATTTTTTTATGATTGAGTCTATTTGTTTTTCGAAAAAAATAATAAAAAAATTGTTAATTCTTTTATTAGATAAAATCAAAAAATCAATCTTTAATACTATGGACGTAAATCATGACTACTCTGTATTAGAGTTTCACCGGAAGTTCCGGTTCCGGTTCCGGAAAGTTCCGGTGTTTTTTTAGTTCCGGTTCCGGTTCCGGGAACCGGAACTCAAATTGGTTCCGGTTCCGGTTCCGGCTCCGGTTTACAAATCGGTTCCGGGCAAACCGGAACTTTTTTACACCCCTAAGGATTAGTTTTTTTGAGAAATATGGATTGGCTTTCCCTGATTGGCCTTCCAAAATTCTCAAAATTTTCGCCTGCGGCGCAAGAAAATGAAGAAATCTAGCTACTTGGTCACACAAATTCTCAAAATTTTCGCCTGCGGCGCTTAAAAAGGAAGAAATTTGTATCCTTGGTTCACCTAAAATCCCAAAATTTTTGCCTGAGGCGCTATGAAGGGAAGTTGTATGGTAAATCGAAGGATTTGGATGGATGAAGGTGGATGAAGGTGGATTTTGAGTTACATTATGTGAGTTCAAGGGGTTATAGGTAATATAGAGGGATTTGGGTGTGATGTCCAGGGAATGAGCTGTGCAAGTTAGATATCAGGGATTGAATAGCTGGGGATTTGGTCTTCCAAAACTTGGATTTTTTTTCGTTTCGATTAACAGAAGAATTTGGCAGAATTTAATCGAAAAATTTGGCGAAACCGCACCCCTACTTAAAATAAAAATTTTTTAAAATGTGCTAGCAAAAATTTTTTTAAAAGTTCCGGTTCCGGTTCCCGGTTCCGGGCCGGAACTTTGAAAAGTAACGGTTCCGGTTCCGGGAACCGGAACTTAAATTGGATCCTGTTCCGGTTCCGGTTCCGGTCAAAATTTCGGTTCCGGTGAAACACTACTCTGTATATGAATTCTAAAATTACAACAAAGAGTTTCTTGCTGTCAAGAATTTTTAAATAAAAAATAATTTCTAATTAAAAATTTTATTTTTGTTTCTTTGCGTTAACAATTTGTTATTCAAATAGAAATTTAATTTTATATTATTAAAAATTATTTTTAGAAAAAATATAAATATACATAAATATTAGGTATTTTTTGTAAAATAATTTGTTATTTATTTAAAAATTTTAAGATCCTAACGTTACTTATTTAGAAAAAAATACATAACTAATTAAAATTTAATTTTACAGGTAGAATTTTTTAAATTTTATAATTAAATAAATTGAATAATTAAAGAATGATTTTTTCAAGTAAAGAATATTATTTAAATAATTACCTATTTTGAAAATTAAAAAAAGTGTTTTTAATTAACTTATAAGGAGTGGGTCAACCTAATTTTTTTTGTTAAAACTTGTATCAAAATATGACTCAATTCAATCATCTAAGATTTTCAATTAAAAATAAGTAAAATATACAATTTATTTATTAATTTATTAATTAAATATACAAATTTATAATATACATAATTTATTTTATTTTAATTTAATAACCAATTTAATCACTTAATTCTAAAAGCCTATTTTGTCCACGACAAAGAATTGATATACGTAAAGGACATCCAACTTTTAAGGATTTTAGAAATTTTTTAGTTCTTATTTCTTTTTGAATTTCTTCTTCAATTTTATTATCTTTAATTTCATTATCAATCATTTCTTCTTGATTGACTAATTTTTCTTCCATGTCTTCATCCTTTATTTTATTTTCTTCATTTATTTCCTCCTCCGCAGGTACTTCATTAACCTTCTCTTCTTCTTTAATTTCAAATACTTTCTCGTTATTTTGTTTTAAATCTTCGTTTTCTTCCTCTTCTTGTTGTTCTACAGGTACTGCTTGAATTTCTATTTCCTCTACATTAGCTTTCTCCATTCTACTTTTCAATTCTCTTTTATTCACACTGTTGTTTGTATTAGTTCCTCCTCTTTTAAAAGCATTTTTCCTCAATTTATTATAAGAATCTGGGCATGGAAGGGAAGTAAAAAAGCACATTGGATGTATTCCCAAAGGATAAATTGAAGGAGGATTAATTCCTTGATTATTTTTATTATTTATTTTTGATGGGTATTTTGAAGTAGATACAGGCCAATCTCTAAGCATTGCAAAATTCTGTACTCTTCGTCTGTGCCGTAAATCGCGAGAAGCTTTTATATTTGGTAAAATAAATGAGAGAATAATTGGGGAAATAATTAATAATAATTTTATAAAATTCATTTTAATTTAAAATAAATATTTTTTTATTAAATGAAAGGCTTTTTTACTGACTATAAGTAATATAAATTTATAAATATTCTTATTTATTTTTATCTTTTATATTTACAATTAAAAGGGCGGGACTTGAAAGCTTATTTATGCACATTACGGCATAAACTACTTATTTTATTTAATTATAGTTATTTATTTATTAAATTTAGAAAAAAAATTAGTGAGGTAATAATAAACAATTAATATTGTGTTGAAAATAGAATATACGTAAATTTTTAAATATTATTATTTGTTTTTAACAAAATAAATATTTAAAAATAAATATTAAATTTAGATTTTTAATGAATTGAAAATTAAATAAATGTAATTTCTTTTTTAATTTTTGAAAAATTAAAAAATAATTCATTAAATCTAAATTTAGCTCAATAATTTAGAATACTTTTAAATAATTTTAATTTATTGAAGATGACATAATCGAGTAGATACAACAAGACATTCAACACTTGAACCATTAAATTTATTTATTTTTAGTTTAAAATGAAAAAACATTTAATGCAGGGTTCTCATTCGTACTTTTTAAAAGTATTCTCTTTTAAATCGACCTCCATACTTACGAAATTGAATATGTACTTTTTTGAAAGTTTTTATTACAAAAATTTAAATTTAAAAATTTGAAAATTTAAACTTTTAAATCAACATTTTGAAAAAACGAAGAAATCTGGCTTAAGTTTAATTTAGAGTTCTAATTTAATTTAGAGTGTACTTTTTTTTGAAAATTTTGTCCCTATCTACTTTTAAATCGAGATTTTTATACTTTTGAGCGGCATTTTGTCGATGAGAACCATGATTTAATGTTTTAATTTAAATTTTCGTATTTTAAAAAATTGTATTTGAAAGTAAAATATTTTTTACAATTTTTATGCCTAAAAATAAATTTACTATATCTGATTTATATATTACATGTTAAAATTTAAAACAAAATATGTAAATTTAAAATTTTATAATTATATTATTTTTGAAAAATATAAATTGTTGCCAATAATCTGTTTTTAGTCCAGAATATATATTTTTGCAAGAATTTCTTTTAAATTTTTTTTGTAAATTCTTCTTCTTCCAAATTGGCAATAAAAATAAATAAATAAATATCTATAATTTCTACTTATAAAATTTCAAAAAATATCCGCGTCAGATAACGTCCTTATTTTTTTGAAAATTGTCTACATAATTATATATAGTACATACTTTAATTTTTAAATATTTTCTAGAGGAAATTTTTTTTAATAATATATAATTTAAATAGAAATTAGAATAGGAAGGAAGTGCACGTACTATTTAATACTGAAAATGATGTATATTTAACTTTTTATTTTTTTAAATAAAATTTTAGAAAAAAAATTCTGAAGATTTTTAAAATAAAAAGTGATGTCTAAAATAATAAAACAAAAAATAATCTTCTTTTAGACTAAAAAAATTAATTAAAAAATGTTTACAACTTCCGAAATGAATTAAAATGAGTTAATTTTTAGAAGATTATTTTGGATTAATTTATGGAAAGGATTAAATAAAAATTAAAAAAATATTTTTTTGGAACATTAATAATTTAAAAAATATTGATCAAAAAATATTTTGATTGAGAACAATAAATTTTAGTAATTTTTTATCAAATAAAAATAGTCACTCAAATGTGCGTAAATTGATTCTTACTAATAAAAATAAAATACAATATTTTTATAATATATTATTTTTATTTTTTAAATTTTTTAATACATTTGTTTTTTAAACTAAAAAATTCTCTATAAATATTTTTTATCTCCTTAAATACTTTTAACAATAATTTTTATTATTAATTGATAATTATAAAATGGGGTGGTCAAATTATGACGAAAAACCTCAAAATATTCGGATATACATACTTCCTCTAAAATAGCCCACACCAACTCGTAAAATATTTAATTGTTGAGTAATTGTTGAGTCCCCTCAGTTAAATCCTCATTAAGGAATATAGGCGGATCAACAAGTATATAAAGGGATTTAGGGAGATATTGAGGGATTTGAAAGGATTAAGAGTGAAATAGGAGGATTCGTGGGATTTGTTTACTTTTCTTCAACTTGAGGGGACGAAGAAGTACTTGATGAAAGTTTTTGTGCTGATTATAATTTAATATACAATTAATCCAAAAATTTTTTTTATTACTCATTGACATTAAAGTTGCAACGCTTAACTTAAATTTTATTTTGTTTGTTTTTTCTTTAGAAATATTCATTGCGTCATTTATTTCATTTTATGATTTCATTTTTATTTATTTGTTATATATGTAAAACTTACTTTTATTTTTTATTTTTTTTTCTTTTAATTGTCAAAAATAATATTACTAATTATTTTAGTATATTAAATGATTTTAAATTTTAAATTTTTAATTTTTCTTATTTTAATATTTTATATTATATTTGTTAATTTAATTAATGCTGCACCAATAAATAAAGGTAATATCGAAATAAATATTTTTAAAAGGTAAGCTTACTATTTTCCATATTTTTAGGTATTAGGAAAGAACCTCGATTTCAATGTGATTCATTTTCAAAAAAATGTCCATATGGGATGCGATGTAGAGGGGGTTTTTGTAAATAAATACCAAGCAATATAAATAATATTTAACAATGAAATTTATAAGAATATAAAAGTATTTTTTTAGTAAATATTTTTGTGTTTTTATTGTTTTTAAATTTTATATACCTAATTATTTATTTCTTTGTTAATTTCAAAGTTTTAACAATAAAATTTTATTATAATTTTAATTATTCTCTTGAAATTTTGAAATATGTAAAAGTGCTATTGTTGCGTTTGACAATAAATAATTCTAAATCAATGTGTTTTATGGGTACAGCCTAAGAGGGCGCGATGCCATAATGGTGCAAAGCCATAACTAACTGGAAAATTATTGGCTCTTATCAATTTTGGTACCAATCTCTTTAGCTTGATGAGAGGAATCGTTTATTACTAAAATTGATAGGATTCGGAAATCTTGAAGCACGTTATGGCTTTGCGTGCTTTTTTGTACCACATAAAAGGGTGTTTTTTTAATTCGACTTCCTATAATTTTATTCAAAATTAATTTAAATTTTTAATTACCCATAATATTTAAATAATTTGTCTGTTTATTTGCATTAATAATTTTTTGTTTCCAAAAATAAATTTCATCCATTAAATATTTTACCACCTTCTTTTAATTAAAAAAACTTCAATTGCAAACATCATAAATAAATATATTTTACTTATATAAAACATTTATTTATTCCCGCGCACCTTTCGTGCCATTTTTTACTTTAAAGAATGTATTAAGTATTTTTTGTTTCTATTTTTATATTTATAAATTGACTAGCAAATATATATCTATATGTATTATCTTTAATTATTCATAGATATGGGAAAAGTCCTGAACGATAATTCGAAACTTGTTAGAATTGTGGGCAATAATAAACCAACAAACCTCTCTCTCCACAACAAGAGAGAGGTGGGTGATATAACCAACATCTTTTCAAAGCATTAATTGTAAGTACATCATAAAAAGTTATCCCAGTTTTGACGCACATAAGTCCAATTTATCAATTTATTTAATTAAATGGAATTATTTATGTATTCAACATTTAGAAAAGTGTTTTTATTTTTCAATTATAATTTAATAAAAAAATATTTTTTTGCTGATCGTTTAAGAATTTTATTTTATTATTTAAAAAATTTCCTCATCAAAAATCTTCTAAAAAATCCATTAAATATTTTTCCCCATCCATTAAAATATTTTTCCTTATTTGTACTAAAATACATATTTTATTTTTTATATGTATATCAGACATAAATTAAAAGCTTTTTTTTCTTTTATCTCGCCCATTAATTTATAATCTTTATTTAAACACGATATTATATTTAATAATTATCACTATTAAATATAAACTTTTATTTTTTAAAAAAATATTTTTCTTCCGAAAAAAATATTAATTTTAAAAAATGCCCCAAAAAATATTTTCCCATTTTTACCCTCAATTTAATTCTTTTTCCTTAATTTCTTTAATTATTCTATTAAATATTATTTCAATTAAAAGTACCTCTTTACAACAAATGTTTAATTTAAATGAAGCTATTTCTTCACAAAAAAATCCAGAAAATTTGGAAAATAATAATTTAATTATTTCCCCATCAAAATCTTTTGGAATGCATCCTTCATGTTTTTTTACTTCATTACCTTGCCCTTTACTTTTTGAAAAATTTCGAAGAAGTTCGTTTGTTAAACAAAGTGGAATTACAAAACATAAATTAACGAGAAGAGAATTAGTAAATAATTATTTAAAAGAAAAAGAAGAAGAAAATAAAGAAGAAAATTTTAAAAAATTTTTAAAAGAAAATCAAAAACGTTTTCGTCCAGTATTTTCGTTAGATTGTCCTTTTAGTGTTTTAAATTGCAGAACTTTTGTATTAAGAAGACAACAACAAAATAATATTTAATTGTGAATAAGTTGTTGGAATAAAAATTTAATTTTTCTTTGATTTTATAACTGTAATTTAGCCTACTTTACATGTCATATTCGAAAGGCACTTTCCATGTCATATTCATTATTTTCCTCCGAATCATATTCCCTTTTAATATTAAATAAAATAACAATGAAAGATTTAGGATAACATTCTCAAATAGATTTCTAAAATATTTACCTATTCCTTTAATCGGGTTATAATTTAATGATAAAACCAATAAAAGTAAGAAGATATTTAGGCATTTCAGCTTCTGCAAAATTCTCATTGACTATCTTATTGAATAACCAGATGATTATTGTAAAATCTCAAAATAGATCCATTGTTGGTTATTTAGTCTCATTAATTATTATTCCACCATGCAATCCCAAAAGTCCAAGGGTAAATATTTATTTTCATTTTATTATTAATTAATTATAACTATTTTCTCCTTTTTATTTCAAGTGCCAATAGGCATATTATAACATAAAAAAAGAATTTCTCGATCGGAGCTTTGAATTAAAGAATATTTTGTTAATTAATTAAACATTTTGTAAAAATTTTCAAAACAAATTATTTAAAAAACAGAAATAATTGATAAAAACACATTTGAATTTGGATCTACCTTTTAAGATATATTTTTTTGTACAAAAAATTACAAGGTCGGGTTGCAACTTCCAAACTACATAAGTACATACAAATCCTAGCCCTGTTTTAATTCATTATTTAATTTTTAAATTTATTCTCATTTATTAATTGTTTCACAAACAACCAAAAAACCAAAAAAAACACCCCAAACAGACGTTAATTGTTACAGTATTTAAATATGTAGATTGAACAAAATTTTAAAAGAATTATTTTTTATTGCGTACTTAAATACATATTAAATTGCTAAAAAACAATAAAATAATTACTAAATAGTGCATATATTGCATCTATTTATATCACTTTTTGCGTCAGAATAAAATAATTATAAAAATATTTTTTGTTCCTTTTTAAATTAATTTATGGTTTGTTAGGGTACAACCCTAACTACCATAGTCCAATTTAATGAAGGTTTTATAACTAGAACGTTAGATATGCTGTAAATGCTCGAATAATTACCCTAGGTAATTATTGTTTAGACCTTTCACTGGGGGGGGGGATAATTAATAGAGAGAAGCTGCTAAATTTGGAGTATATCTCGATAAAACGAGGAGGAAATCCATTTATTTTTTGATAGTATGTCTTACAATGTTTCAATAATTAAAAATGACAATGATTTTTTCAATATTTTTAAAATTTGTGTAGGAACAAGAGGGGTAATATTTAAAGGGGGAAATTATTTGAGAGAGGGTAATTAGGTAAATTTGGTATGATCAGACATTTTTGTTTCCTTTCAATTAACTTTATTTTTCTTTAAAATGAATGTGACGTTTTAAAATATAATTATTATTTATTTATTTAATCAAAAATAATAAAATAAACTTCTTAAAATATATTTATGAAAAGATTAAAATTACGAGAAAAGGAAATTAAAAGAATTCTTTTAAAGATTTAAATGAGATTTAATTTAAATCTTTTTTTCCGTTTTTTGTTTATTTCGTTGTTTATTTTTACGTTCTCGAAATGCAATTAATTGACGTTTTGCACGTTCAAATTCCTCAAGTACTTTAGTTATTCTCCAATGTAATCCATTTCCGAAACTTTTTAAAAATTAAAAAAATTTTATTGTAATTTAAATAAAAAATATAAAATATTTGGAAGGGACACAAGTCTTTGGAAAAATAAAAAAAAGTATTTTTTAAAAATTAATTGAATATAGACTGAAATAAATAGAGGAGACATTGAAAGTTTTAAAATAATTTTAAATTAATTTACCTAGCCTTATGTACCATTTTACTATACCGCATTGAGGTTAAAACGGAGCGAGAAATAAAATGATTGCTTTGATGTGAACAAGTAATAATTAAATCTAGAAATCCAGTTTGTTTTATTTTTAGAGTTGAATTAATTTTTGGATGGAATAATTGAGGCTATAAATAGAGTTTAGAAAATAAATTAGGTTTTAATTTTAATAAATAGATATTCTAATACATATTTATGCATATTTTTATATATCTAGATAAAATGTCAGATAGTTAAGTTAGCATAGAGTTGCCAAAATGGCCCGAACGGACCGAAAGATCGAGATGTTTGGCCCGAAAAAGTCTCGTACCGGCCCGACTCGATAAAAACTAGCAAATAAATGCCTCGACCGTCGGACTGAGTCGAAAACGGCAACTCTAGTTAGCTAATTTTTTGAATGAAAAAAATTCAATTTTATCTAAAAAAATAATTTTCATACATATAATCATTAAAACAAATATTCATTATAAAATATTTTTTACCCAATTTTCAGAAGCCCCAAAACAATTAATTTCCCCTAAATGACTACTATGTAATTCCTCAAATTTTGAATCAAAACTAGCAAAAGGTTTCCAACATTTAATAGTAAAATAATTAATTCCTGGATTTATGGGTAATTGAATATTTGAAAATCCTTTTAAAATAAAAAAATATTTATTTTCAAATAAAAACCATTTAAAAATAAACGATTCCAACAATCTTGAGAAGTTAAACGAAATAAAATATTTGGCCAAAGAATATAATTTTCTTTAATCAATTTATTTTTTGTTTTCCAATTAATACTAAATTGTAGTAATTGACCGAAATGGAAAATATCTTCCTTTAAAAATTAATTTTTTGGAAATAATTTTATTTTTAAATTACATCTCCGTCAGTTTTAGATTCACAAAAATGACTTATTCCTTCAATCATTTCTGTTGGTCTCAATTCTGCATTTATTGGTAATTGAATAAGCCATTCAACACGTAAATTAGAATTAGGAAAATCCCTAGCACGAGCTAATAATTAATTTAAATTATTTAAAATTTTAAATAAAAATATAAATTGACCAAAAAGAAAGTTAAGATAATATTTTTTGATGTTCCATATCGATAATTAATTTCAAAAAAACTGGCCGGTAAAATTTAAGTTACCTAATTTACTATTTTTTCGATATTTAACCGAAAAATATTAACCGTTAGTTATGTTAAAATTAGGGTAGCAACCCGACCCCGGAAACCCTAACCCCGACGGCCTACCCGAACCCCGAAGGCTTTACCACGACAAACCCCGAACCCCGACATGCCTTCCCCGGCAAACCCCGATCCCCGACACACCCTCCTCGGAAGGGTCGGGTTGCTATCCTAGTTAAACTTAATAAAATTAACTTAATTGAATTATTTTAATTAATTTCCAAAATTTAAAACCAATTTCAATAAAATAATGTAACCAATATTCTTCGGCACTTTCCGGTGTTTCAAAATATTCTTCCTCCTTCTCTTCTTCCTCCTCCTCCACCTCCACCTCCTCCTCATTTTCATCTACTTTTAATTCATCAAATTCTTTAATATTTTCTTCAACAAATATTTTTGCTACAAAATTTCCATTTCTTGTATTTATTATATTTTTCTGTTCAAAATCAGGTTCTATTTTTAACAACCGATTATTTAAAAGAGTTAATTCAAACAATAAATATTCGTCAATTAAATTATAACTTTAAATTATAATTTTTTTTTGAAAATTTAATAAAAAAAACTTTTGTCCAGCTAATTGTCCTAAATATGCAATTATTTTCATTTTTTCTGTTTTGAATTTTAAAGAAGAATGTTTCTTTGATTTTATTTTCTCCAAACGAATTGGCGTTTGATTTGATTGTTTTTCTCTTTAAAAAAATTTTTTTAAATTTAAATATTCAATTTTAATATTTCTAGTAACCTAAATCCAACAAAAATTTTTATTAAAAATTGGGTTATAGTTGTGGTAATTTTTCTGTCTAGAGATGGAGGAGAGAGGGGGAAGGAGGGAAGGAGGGCTAATTATTGTTAAAATAACAGATAAAGTACCTAATTTTTGCAAAATTTTTTGAAAAATTTTTTTCATTGTAAACTACACCTTTTAACCTTTTCTTGTTTTTCGGCAACATTAAACGAAAATTTATCCCCAATATCATCCTCAATTATTGTAAATATTCTATGCGATGGTTCACTTAAAATTAAAAAAAAATTTCAATTAAAAATTTTTGTTACATTTTTGATTGTTTATTAAGATCATCTACTAATTTATCTTCTTCTTTCTCATTTTTATCATTCTCATTAATTTCATTATCTTTATTTTCTTCAATTATGTTAATTATTGCTCCCTCAACTGTTTCAATCTAATTGTAGGTAAAAAAATGTTTTAATTTTAAAGATAAATTTATTAATTTATTCTGAATTTTAAGAAAATTAACGGTTTAGAGCTTCCTTTTGTTACTTTCCGATAAAAAATTCCGTCTTTATAGGGCAAATAAAAAATTAAGGTTTCTATTTGATAGCTTAGTTGATAATCCTTGATAATAATAACAGCATTCTATTACCAGAGTAAATAGCTATTTCTCTCCTTTAGCTAGTGCAAAAGGTTAATCGGCGGCTAGGAGCGAACCAGCATCTTCCGTAGACCGGACTGATGTGTTATCCATTACACAACGCCGCCTACTGTACAGCTTTAGGAATTAAATAGCTATATGCTTTACACCAGAAAGAATACTCAATTATGTGAGTAATTACACAGCATTAGGGATTTTGCTTCTTCTCCCCCCTTTTTTTACCTTAAACCAAATTCAAAATTATTTTGTGACATCAATATAATTTATGTAACTATGGTCAACACCAAGAAGATATAAGAATTATTTAAATTAATTTTTAAACTAATAAAATAATTTATCAATCAAAAAACCTTTGTAGGTTTAGGTATTACTTCTAACCATTTAATTATTCTTTTTTCCATTAATTTCCCCCTTCTTTTACAATTTCCATCTTCCTCTAATAAATTTTCTTTTTGTTTATTTTCTTTAAAAAAATAATAAATTAATTTGTAAATAAAAAATAAAACTAAGAAATTCATCAAAATCTAATGCAGATGTTGAAGAAGAATGTCCAATAAAATATAATTCAACACTTTTTAAATTTTATTTTTATTTTTAAAAAACTTTTTTCTTACCAAAAATTTATTTGTTTTAAATCTCCATAAATATTATAAAATTTGGACATTTTTTTGATTTTAATAAAAAAAATTAAAATAAAGTTAAAAATTAAAACAAAAATTTTATTTATAAATTTGGTTGTCATAGAAACATTAATAGACTATAGAACATAAAAATAGAAGAAAAGTGACCGTTTTTAATTTTGTGATGTTTGCCTACCTATGTATATTAACGAATAAATACTTTTTAAACTCGAGATTAAGAGAGAACAATAACTTTGAATTTTCCAACAATTCTTGTTGAAATTAAATTTTAAAATGTTTGGAAAATATTATCACTAATATAATAGAACATTTTTCCGGAAAGTTAAAATAGGCAATTTTAGGCAACGATAAAAATAGTCTGAAAGCATATTTTATAAAAATATCGCCTGATTTGGACGTTTTAGCATCAGGCCTATTTAGGAAAAAACAGGCATTTTGCCTTAAATCCTAGCCCTAATTATCAGTCAACTCTGAATATGAACACATTTTATACATTTATAACCACAATTATACAATAAAATATCAAGAGAATAATCACAACAAAACTAATTAGGCAAATAACAAATATATATTCCTTAACAAAATCACAACTAATTATCTATTTTAGCACGCCATGCTAAATCATCAATACCTTTGGTTACATCGTGGCAGCTTGATTTGAACGAGGAAACATCCTTAAAAAATAATTTTTAATTTAAATCCAAAATTCCTCATTACTTTCTGAGAAGTATGCCCTCCAGTACAGCAAACAATAATCCCTTTCCCATCATCATTTACATAAAATATGCCATTCAAGAACTCGACGAAGCATCTGTTTTGTGTGCTTGGAAGAAAGCGTCCTGCCCAAGTATCCCGAAGTTTGTCTTTACGAGTGATTGGGTCCATTCCTTGGTTAAACGATATCTGCCCTTCTCCCTCATATTCTGGCTGGCAATGTTGAGACTTGCCAGCATCCCTTCTCTTCCCAATATAGCAGGCTCGAACTGCTCTCAATGCTTGATTGATCCGCCCTTTTCCTTTGGTTCGCTCTAGAAGATGAGGAATGTCGTAAATACAACCAGTCTGAAAATAAAAAGGACTTCGATTAGTTTAATCAGTTAATTACCAGGTAAAGCAACACCCCTCTTCTTTTATTCCCAATCAGAAATGAAGGAAAATCCCAACCAAGATTCTTCTGTTCATAGATGAAGAAGCATCCTAAAAAGCAAAAGCTATACTCGTTAAAATTTAAAATATTCCTCACCAGGCTCTGTACAATTCTTTTTATTTTTCCCATCTCCTTGCTCTCCAATATTGTCGTAAAGTCTTGCGGTGATAGGGCATTCACTAATATTTTTGGTATTGGCTCCATCCACTTTGTTTGTTGTGCTATGGCTTTCTAAAGGCACTGGATCTGTCCCATTTGTTGGAGGAGGAGAGGGCGGCAGATTGTCGACCTTGGATGTAGGTTTCGTAATGTTTGTCGCTGTTGATGTTGTCGTTGCTGTGTCGTTTTGGGCTGTATTGACTCCGAGAATCGCCACCATTGAGATAAACGCAAGGATCACTTTCATATTTTTGAAGAAAATTGAAATGTAGAGAAGATTTGAATAATATAATGTTGAAGAGGATTAGATGTTTACGTGATTTATTGCTTTTATACTCATAGAGTTCAGCGGTATCGGGATTTCGCCATAAAATCGGGATAGGGATTTGGAGTAATGACCCCGATACCGGTCTCAACTACGGGATCGGGATTGGAAAACCAATGGATTTACTAAAAAAAATTTTAGTTTTATAAACGAATTATTTTCATTTTAAAAATGATTTTAATCTTCACTAAAATGATAAATGCTATTTTTAATTATTTTTTTATTAAGGAAATTTTATTTCAATTTTTGTTATTTTACTGACAGGTAGGGTTGCCAGCTCGCTCGAACCGTACTCGAAAGATTGAGAGAGCCGAGGCTTTTCAGCACAAAAAGCTCTAAAACGAACTGAATCAAAAAACCAAGCTCGAAAAAATGCACCGAACGTTGGCTCGAACCGAAAACGGCAACCCTAATGACAAAGTTTATTTCTAGTTTTAATTTTTAAAAAATAATAATTTTCATTTAAACATTTTTAACGTTACAATTAATTTTTTTCAAGTAAAATTTTTGTCAAAATTTACACAATTTTTAAATTATTTTTTTCCATATTTTTATTGTTTGTTTTAACAACAGCAGCAACTAGTAATTGTAACTATAAACATCTGTATATATTTTTAAATTCATCTTATTTAATATTTTTATTTTTCCCCTTCCTTTTCTCGCATTTACTAAAAATGTTTGTCTCATCATTTTGGTGGTCGGCGGTTAGTATTTGACATTGGACACATTTTAAGCAAAAAAATTTTTCTTTGGGGGTGCTAATCCCTTCTCAAAGATGGAAGTAATTCCAAAATCTAATAAATATATTTTAAATATATATAAATTCTCTTTTTTTGTTTACTTGCAAAAATTTGTTTTTTCTTTTTTGCTTTTTTCTATTATTTTAAATACCGTATTTCCTATATTAGAGCCCCATGGGGCTCTATTTTTCAACTATCCTCCAAGGTGGGGCTGTATTAAAGGGTGGGGCTCTAATTGAGGGTGGGGCTCTATTTTTCAACCCTCTTTTGAGATAGAATCCCATTTATTATATCCATTGCAACTAGAGATAGGCCGGAGGGGTCGGTTGATAAAACCGAAAAATATCGAAAGACAATCGATATTTTTCAATTTTTCAAAAAAAAATTAAAATTTTATAAGCAATGAGTAACAAAATAATCGCAATAATTCAATGAGGGTAAGATTAATTATGAAATATTTGTAGATTTTGACGGATTAAAGGGAATTTTAGGGGACTTGTATTTGACATTGATGGATCATATGTAGGTATATAAGCGATTTTAAGGGATTATGGGGAATATCAGAGGATTAATTTTATATTGAGAGATTTAGCGGGGTTAAGAGTGATATTTTGAATGAGGTATTAGTAGGCATATGAAGGGATTTTTTGATGAAGAGGGACATCGGTGATATAAGGGATATCTATCGGGATAAAAGGAATACCCACTATATCTCTTCCTTTTCCCCTTAGTTAATCCCTCATATTTCCCTTAATCCTTATGTCCCCATGGCCCTTTATTTCCTTAACTCTTAATAATCTTAAATTATTGGGATATTTTTTATTTTTCCTCCAATATTTTTAGGTGGGGCTGTATTAGGGGTGGGGCTCTAATTGAGGGTGGGGCTCTAATTGAGGGTGGGGCTCTATTTTTCAACTACCCTCCAAAGTGGGGCTGTATTAGAGGGTGGGGCTCTAACAGAGGGTGGGGCTCTAATATAGGAAATACGGTATACTATTTTTGGATTAAAAAATTATTTTTTTGAATTTAAAAAAAAATTTTAAAAAAATAAAAATTATTTTAAATATTATTAATTCTTTCAAACAAAATTGCTTCCGATTTATCTCCTAATTTTATCAAGTAAAGTGAAATACTTATAGGAAAAAATATTTTTTAAAACAGTTCTCTTTGTCATCTTCAGAATTGTGAATTTTCAAGTTCACTTTTAGTTTTTTAATAAAAATATAAATACTAATTTCATTAAACATTTTTACTTCCTTTATTTAAAAAGTCAAAATTTATTTAAAAATAATTAATTACTTAAAAATATTTAAATATTAATATGTATATGTAATTACAAGGTTAAAAACAACATTTGGCCTCTTTTACAGATTTTAAAACATTTCTTCTTTTTCTTACCCAAAATATCTCTTCTCTTTCCTCATTTAACTGGCATAATAATCCATTATTATTTATTATTTATTAACTCTCTCGATCACTTCTTTCATTTAAAGGCCAACTGGTTCTCTCTTTCAAATATTTGGCAATTGCTTTTTAATATTTTTTATAATTTATAGAAGGGGGGATATTTGATATTTTTAAAAGATTTATTTCTTCCAATAAACAAACTAATACTCCATCACCCTTTTACTTAAAACCGATTTCTCATTAATCCATAATCAATTAAAAAATATTTGATAGATCTACTTTAATGAGGGAAAGGAATTTATTTTTTTAAAGTTAATCAAGAAAAAGATTGTTTTTATTTTGTTATTTTTTTACTATTATTTAAAGGATTTTATTAAATATAAAGGGGAATCTTTTAATAAAAATATGCCTATCTAAAAAATATTAATCTTATTTTTTAATAAAATATTTAAGTAATTTATTTATAAAAAACTCTTACTTTCGAAAATTTCATTATTTATAATTAAAATATATTTAAAATAGCAATTAGTTAGCGTTTTCACCGGCCCGACCGAGTATTTTTCGGGCTTCATTTTTCCGGGCGGGCATCGAATCTTTTTTTTTCAAATCTTTTTTTCATCAAATCTTTTCGGCATCTTCTTCGGCCAAAATCCGATGCCGGACTCGATCTTTCGGACCGGACCGGGCCGGCAACCCTAATAGCAATACATATTTAAATCTAGTCAAATTAATTTTTGGCGAATCCTTAATATTCTTTATTACCATACCATAAAACTATTCCTGATTTCTTGACCAAAACCATATCTTAATTTACCTAATTTAATTTTTAAAAGAATATAATTTAAATTTAGTTTATGCCATCCATTTACAATAACAATTTAAATATTCGAAGAATTTTTATATTTTTACAATTGAGATTATTTCAATTATTATTTATTGTGAATATTAGTTTATTTATATTACAAACACCTTTAATATTAACCTCGATTAATGAAAAAATAAAAAATAAAAATCAACAATTAATTAACAACAAAGAAAATAATATTTTTATTAATTTTACAAAATTTAAAAATAAATTTAGTAGAAGTGTTAGATTATTAGATAAAAATGAAAGAGAAATTAAAAAATATCCGTTAATTGTTGGACCTGGAGAAAAATTAAATGTACCGATTAAAGGAGGAACAGTACCCATTGAGTGGTTTAATCTTCGGATTGTTGATCCGCAAAGATTTGGTAGAAGATTGGGGGATTTACGTTTTGAGGTTAATTATTAATTTGATTGGTATACAAACTGGGGTTAATGGAAAGTTATTTTGAAATTTATTGGGAAAATTTTTGATTGATTTCAGAAATATTACTATTTTCTGTAGAGAATATGACTATTTAATTCCTAAGGCTATGCAATAGACGGCGTGATGTAATGATAACACTTCAGTCCGGTCTACCGAAGATTCCGGTCTACTGAAGACGCCGAATAACCTTTTGCACTAGCTGAAGGAGAGAATAGCCCAGCTGCTTTACTTTTCTAAGCATAGATAAACTTAAGATAATTTTCGTGGATTTTGGTATTAGAGATATTTTAGAGAGAAGTATTTTTAATGGGAAAGCATCTTTTCTGTTAGATGTCTTTTCCCCCTTTCACAAAAACTAATAAAAGATGTATTTAGGTATTAAAGAATCCGAAACATGGTAAATTACAATTTTTGGACAATACAAATCTAGATGTTAGTAGTAACAGCAATAGTCGAGAAAATTCTATATCTTCCTTCTTTTATGCTGATATTTTGAATAAAAAAGTTTTATATAAACATTTTGGCGATTCTACAAAGAATGATAAATTCAAACTTGGAGTTTGTTTTTAAAACAAAAAAAAAATAAAAAAATTGTTTTTATTAAAAGGTTGATACTCGAAGATTCTCTCGTCGTGCAGGTGGTGGAGGGAGGTTATCTAAAACAGAAAATGGAAATTGGGTTACTTCAAATTCTGAACAATTTGATTTGGAAGTAAATGTTGAACAACAAAATGAAAATATTAATGGGGGAAGAGAAACTCCAAAAATTTTAGTTGAACCAATGGGGGAGGCTATTCATTTAAAAATTGGGAAAAGGTAATTATAATTTATTTAGTGACAGATAATTCAATGACAGACAATTTGCAACAATGACGGAAAATTTAAAATAGGGGATAGGGGATATTATAATTAAATTCTCTCAAAAATTTCCAAAATTTTTCAGACTTCAACTTGGTCCTCAACATTTACGTATTTATGACCCAGATACACCAAATGACCATGTTTGGGTGAATGTTGAAGAAATAAGTAGTAACTCGCTTGATTTAATTGACAAATCAGGTGCTCGTTTAAGACGGTTTTCACTTGCTGGATTTCTCAAGGGAAATGTTCATTTAATTGTTTTAGAAAATTATGAGGAAGAAAATGAAGATGATAAAAATGAAAAAATGAAAAATGAAGGATTTATAACACTTTTAAGTTTTTTTGAATTAAATTTAGAAAAAAATTAGTTTTTTGGAGTGAATATAATTTTAAAAATTAAAATTATTTTAGGTAGCTAGAGATGATTTTGGTGCATCAGAACCGGCAACAATTCATGTTTTGTTTGTTCCTTTAAAAGTTGTATTTGATCAAAATACAGGCATTCGCATGATACACCATTCAAGGTGATTTGGGAAATCTTGACTTATAGGGGACTTTTTTTGGCTGGACCGATTTCGACAAATGATATGTCTTTCGAAAGAGCTCGTCGAGATGAGTCGAATGAGGGGTGAATGGTGTCGATCCGACAATCAGGGACCGAGTTACAGACCCCTGAAATTTAAAAAAGAGAAGGGGGGAGTAAGCTCATTTTGGTCAAAAAATTCAAAAATGTAAAACTCCTCGAGCTGAGTCGAATGACACCAAAATCCGCTCGATTGAACAAGATTGGACAAAGGTATGACACAAAAAACAAACAACGTAAACCTATGGGGCGTCGGCGAGGCGCTTGTGCAAAACTCCGCACTTCGCGCGGAGTTTTGCGGCACGCGCCTCGCGGGGAGTCTACGGGCGCTGGGTCTGGGCTCGTAACATAAACCTATTCCTATTTCCCTTGTTCTGGACGTACCCGGGGCCTTGTAGCAGCAAAAACCGCGGAGACCATAGGTAAGGAGCTAAAAACGACACATAACCTTGTCCAATCTTGTTCAATCGAGCGGATTTTGGTGTCATTCGACTCAGCTCGAGGAGTTCTTTCGAATGAGCTATAATTTACATTTTTGAATTTTTTGACCAAAATGAGCTTACTCCCTTCTTCTCTTTTTTAAATTTCAGGGGTCTGTAACTCGGTCCCTGATTGTCGGATCGACACCATTCACCCCTCATTCGACTCATCTCGACGAGCTCTTTCGAAAGACATATCATTTGTCGAAATCGGTCCAGCCAAAAAAAAAGTCCCCTATAAGTCAATAGTACCGTGATTTGTAATTATTTAATTTAAACGGAATTATCCATGAAGTAAAACCTTAGCTCACTCCTAAACGAATATTAAGTGGATTGGTACCGAATCCTCGTCCCAAAAATTAATCAATTTTCAAACAATAATTCATTGAACGCAAAATAGAACTTACAAGGGAACATTTCGAACTGTGAGTATAAAGTTCGAAATAAAAGTTATACCATCGTGTAGAGCATCGTCGAAAACCTTTATGGTTTCCGGCTTTTTCGGCTCCGACCCCCATTTCGAAAAGTTATAGGTCTTCAAAGTTTTCGATTTTTGGAGCGGTTGAGTCGCCCTCATAAAGAGAGAGTTTTCTTTTATTAGGAGAGAAATAAGGCTCCCATCCTCCTTTTTTCCTTTCCTTTTCTTTTACAATATTAGTTAAAGAAAGAGAAAAGGAGGAGAGAAAAGAAAAGGAAAAGAGGCATCTCTGCCTTGTAGCTAATGTCAATTAAAAAGGAAAGATGAGATGGCAGACATGCCTCTTTTCCTTTTCTTTCCTCTCCTCTTTTTCTCTTTCTTTAACCGACATGGGAAAAGAAGAAGAAAGGAAAAATGGAGAAAAGGAGTCTCATTTTTCTCTTTGGTAAGACAAATAATAAGAAAAGTGAGGGCGACTCAACCGCTCCAAAAATCGAAAACTTTGAAGACCTATAACTTTTCGAAATGGGGGTCGGAGCCGAAAAAGCCGGAAACCATAAAGGTTTTCGACGATGCTCTACACGATGGTATAACTTTTATTTCGAACTTTTTACTCACAGTTCGAAATGTTCCCTTGTTAATATAAATAATAGCAAAATTCAATTTTTAAATATTATGTAAAAGCGAAAAATAAATAAAATCATTTTTAAGAAATATTACGACAAAAAAATATTTTTAAGTATCAACTAGAACCCGACGGTACCATATTACCGACGATCTTTTTCGATATCGATAAATATTCCATACCGTACAATACGCAATTTTCATGAAGCGATAACTTAAAATTATGAATCTCTAAAATTTTAATAAAAGAAAAGAAGTTTCTTAGTTATACATTCTAAAATGCATCAAATATTTTATCAAATCCAAATACTATTCCCCAAATTTTTAATACCTCTATAAATCCCCTTATATTCTCCTTGATCCCCAAATCCTCTGATATCCATTATTTATGAGTTAAGAAAGATATATGATGATTTGGAGGGATTGAGTGGCCTATCGCGGGACCAACCTACCACAGCCCCCTCGGTATCTATTCAAATCACTCTTAATCCCGCCTAATAACTCATTCATTTAATCTTTCTTAATCTTATTAAACTGCCAAGACAGCTAATCTACTTATTCTTTTCATTTTCTTATTCTTTCCACTAATTCTTTCCATCTTCCCTCCCCCTCCTGTCTATTAAACAATTTCCAAAATTTAATTAATTAATTTATTTATAGCCATTCAATAGAACCAACACAACTTTTTTCTCATTGCACTTCAGACTTTTCACTTTCCTGGATTCCTACTGCTCGTTATTCTATAGTTGATCAACCCAATTTTGGTGTTGTTGAATGTTTAAGAGAAGATATAGAAAATAAACAAATAAATAAAAATAAAAAATGGATTGTCTGTTCAACATTCACTCAAAACGAAATTAATTCACTTAAAGTTCGTTATAGACATACAAAAAATTCAAATATTCCTTTACCCCCAAGAACTGATGATTTTGATTTTCAAGTATTAAATATTCAATTTTAAATATTTATATAATTAATTTAAAGGTTTATTGTTCAGACACAGCTTCCCTAGTTCAAGTTTTACAAATTGGTTAGGGGTTCTTTTAAAAATTAAAAAAAATCTTAAAGATTTCATTACACTTAGTATTCGTGTTTTTGTTCAAGAACAATTAACATTAAACCAAACAGATCAAGCACAAATTGGAAGGAGAAATATGTTGGCAACTGTTTTTCCTCAACAATTTAGTTCCGACCAATTATATTTTCATATTCTTGAAGCCCCTAAATTGGGAATGCTTTTGAGATTGGTACAAGAGACAGGACGTCATAGACGTGTTGGGGTTTCTTCAAATATTACTCAACAAGTAATTTAAAAGAATTATATGTAGAATATCACTCCTTATTTCTAGCAAATTGATGAAGGACTTTTCTTTTACAAATTACACTTTGCTCCATTCTCTGTACTTAATGACTTTTTTACTTTTCGGCTTCTAACACCTGCTGGGGCTTCAGAAGAAATTTTTAGATTTGATATTGTTTATTTACCTGGAGGTGGTATTGGCGATATTAGATTAAGAAATAATACTTTAATTGTTGAAGAAGGTGGAATACAAGGGGTATGTAAATTTTGTGTTGAACCTTTCTATGAGATAAATCCAAAGCTAGATACTCCTCAATTTAAGATATGGCTCTTAAAATTTGGAAGGCCAATGGGCCAGGGATTAAACGATACACTTTATTTAAGATACACCTTATCACAAGAAACAATCAGCCCTAAAATAAGGGTTATCTGCGGAGTTCGACTCCGGGCCGGGACCGGGTCCTCAAAACCCGGCCCGGTTCGGATTGGAAGAAAAAAAACCCGGATACCGGGCCCGGCAAATTGAAAATGTCGAACTCTAGTTATCTTATAGCAAGATTTGACGTTATATAAATAAGAAAAATATTTATAAAAATAAAAATAGATAACAAATGGCACTCTTTGGTTAGAAGCAGCAGATGGTAGTAGAAGATTTACTTTTCGTGTTATTCTCCCTCCAATGAATGGAATTTTGTTTTTATTAAATAAAAATGGAAATAAAGAGAAGAAAATTTTGGATTTTGATGAGAATTTTCATTCTGATAATATTTTGGAAAATAAATTATTTTATGAACATTTTGGTGATAAATCCAGTTGGGATAGATTGTTTCTTTTGGCAGAAAGTGAAATGCGTGATCCTGGTGGAGGTAAAGGACATACACCTGTGCCTTTCTTTCTATCTATAGCAATTGTTGGAAAAAATACTAGACAACCTCAGTTATTACAAAAAATGTATGGTGGAAATAATTTAGAAATTAAGGTAAATGTTAAAAAATTTCCAAAAATAATGAAAAACAATACATACCTAAAGACCCTTAAAACTTAATAAACTACCAAAGCAAAATTAAATCAAATTTTTTCCAATTTTTTGTCAGGCCTATTTATGAGGATTGGTACCAAATCCTCGTCCCAAAAATTATTTGTTACAATTTAATTATCCGTTGAACACGTAGAATAGAATTTAATATAAATAAAAGTTAAATTCAATTTTTAAATATGTAAAAACGAAAAATAAATAAAATCGTTTTTATGAGATTTTTACAACAAATTTAGTTTCAAAACATATTTTTAAGTAACAATATATTAAAGTACCGTATTTCCTATATTAGAGCCCCACCCTCTGTTAGAGCCCCACCCTCTAATACAGCCCCACTTTGGAGGATAGTTGAAAAATAGAGCCCCACCCTCAATTAGAGCCCCACCCCAAATACAGCCCCATTTAAAAATATTGAAGGAAAAAAATATCTCAATAAGGTTTTAGATGTATTTTCGAGAGTAACGGAAGTAAAGAGGGATGTTGATAATATTGTGATCATGGAGGAGGAGGGATCATGGGGATATAGTGATGAAAAGGAGGAGATAACCCCGATATCTGTCCAAATACTCTTATATCACCTATATTCATTCAAATCCATCCTATTACCTCTAAAATCTAATTATTATATGAAGGGTTGCAATCGTGTTAGGAAATTGACGATAATTCGCAAGATTTTAGAGATCTATTAGAGATCTTAGATCTATTAGAGAGTCTCCTGTTCCAAAGCCTCATCAAAAAAATCGCTTCATATGCCTCCTAATACCCCTAATCCAGAATATCCCTCTTAATCCCGCTAAATCTCTCAATATACACTTAATCCTATTATATTCCCCATAATAGCTTAAAATAAACTTTTATACCTCTGATCCATCAATTAAAATACTAGTCTTCTAATATTTCCTTTAATCCGTCCAAATCTACCGAAATTTCATACTTAGTTATCTTATTCTCATTGAAATATTCCGTTATTCATTGATTATAAAGTTTTAATTTTTGTGAAAAATCGAAAATTTCAATTCTCTTTCGATATTTTTCGGTTTTATAGACCACTTTTCCAGCCTATCTCTAGTTGCAATGGATATTTAATAAATGGGGTTTTATCTCAAAAGGGTGTTGAAAAATAGAGCCCCACCCTCAATTAGAGCCCCACCCTTTAATACAGCCCCACCTTGGAGGATAGTTGAAAAATAGAGCCCCATGGGGCTCTAATATAGGAAATACGGTATTTCTAGAATATTTTTAAAGAAAAAACACTTTTTTGCGTCTAAAAATATATCCGATATGTATTAAATATCATTCCTATTGCAAAGAAGATTATTCGAACGTATATTTAATGAACGGACGGATATCCGTGGATTTGGAGCATCGTATCCATCCGTGTTTGTCCGATCTAAAAAAACATCTATAGCCTTCCGCATTCGGGAATATCCGCATGTATCCGGATATTATCAGTATTGTAAGGATGATACATCCAGCAGCATTTAAAACGCTTAGGCGGGGGTTAAACGATCTAAAAAGGAAAAAGCTAGTTTACTGTATTGTTTTAATATTAAAAAATTTTTTTTCAGAATTTATTTTTATTGGAAAATAGTGAAAGAACTTTATTGCCATCAATTGTTCAGTTAATTGATTTAGATAATTCAATTGAATGGCCTTCAAGTTTAGAAAATTACAAACAATTCCCAATTGCCCATTCAACCAATTCTTTAAATTTCAATGTTGTTCCCGAACCTTCAAATTCAAGAGATTTTGTTATTTGTGCTAAAGGAGCGCCAGAAATGCCTTTACGGGAATTTGATGAAAATATGTTAAAGGGAGGACATTTAATTGTTAGACATGTTGGGAGTGCTATTAATGGGACGATACTTAGGTAATAAAGTTTACTTTTTTCAATAAAACTTGTTAATGTATCAGAATTAAGAAATTAATTGTATGCCCGGTCATTCTATTTCTCAACCACCTTCCAAAGGGGCTTATTAGAGAGGGCATTCAAATGGAGGGGGCATTATATTTTTCAATCAGCCTCTAGAGGAACCAATTGAATTCTATTATAGGAGGTTCTATTATAGGGGGCATTTAAATGGAGCGGGGCATTCAATTTGAGGTAATACGGTAAATATAATACGGTAAATATTATACTAACCTTTAAAGGAAACTCTTGAAATCTTATCTAGGAGAAATTAATTTTTTTTATTAAATATCTACCAAATAATTCACCATCAATAAATTTAAAAATTAAAGATTAACGGCCACAGATGGTTTACACACCAAGACTTTGCCCATTTCAATATTTGCAGTTCCAAAACCTTTTTTAAGACTTTCTACTTATAATAAAATTTATTTTAATACAAATTTTAATGAAAGAAAAGAATCTTCTTTATTTTTATTTGTCTCGATTTTGCATTTATTTGCAGAAACAAATTTGGATATTTTTGATTATCAAATAATATTTCAAGTAAATTCTTGAGCATTTTAAATTCAAAAAAATATAAAAAAATTTTAAGGTACAAACAATTTTGCCAAATCTATCTCCTTTTCGTTTGCTTCTTGAAAATGGAACTTTTGTTAAAACTCTTGAATTTACTCAAAAAGTAATTTTTTATTTTTAAGAAATTTAATTTAAACCATCTTTGGTGGAATTTATTATTCTTCCTTACTCCTAAATTATCCTCTTAAATCTCTCCAAGTTGAAGTAAAAGGGAAATTATTTAATAGGATATATGCCCAGAGCTTTTGTTGATAATAATGAGAACCTAATTTTTTCAAATTCGATTCCAAGAATTATTATTACCGTATATCCTTTAATAATTACCTTGGGTAATTATTGTTTCGACCTTCCGCTGGAGGGAGTAATTAAATGAGGGAGAGTAATTATACGAGGTTTGAAATTTGAACGTTTTAGGGTATCTTCGGGGGTAATTATTGTTTCAATATATCGCTGGAGGGGGTAATTAATAAAAGTGGGATAATTATTTGAGGGAGGGCAATTAATACAGGTTATACGGTATTTATTTAACAATTACCTAATCTACTTTTTAATTTCTGCAGGACATCCTTCAAAATCGTTTATTTTTTGTTTTCAATAAAAATACATTTAAACAACAAAATTATTCACAAATAATTTTCTTAAAACTTTTTACAACACAAAATGAATATAAAAATAAATTAAATGAAGAAATTATTTTGGAAATTATTTTAAATAATTTTTCTAATTTTTCTTTAACAATTCCTTTAAAAATTAAAGAAAAAGGAATTTATGTACAGAAGGGGGCAAGTTCTCCAATTGATGAACAAATTATAAATATTTTGACAAAAAATGATGATGATCTTTATATTAAATATTTTATTGTAAAGCCACCAATTTATGGCGATATTATTTTTCAAAGGAAAAGAAATCAAATGAATGGTTTGTTTTTTAACTGATTTTTTGTTTAAAGTTTATTTTTAAAAATTTTAAATTCTAAATAAAATATATTAGGTATTACTTTGATAATTTTACCTTATTTAATAGTTGTTTAAACTAGGGTAGGACTCCAATCCTTCGGGATCGGTAGTGCCGGATTCGGCCGGGAGGGCATGTCGAGGTTCGAGGTTGGGTTTGACTTTTGTGTCGTGAGTGGCAGTATTTTTACTAATATTTAAAAAGAAATTTAAGAGTTTAAAAGCTAAATTAGGAAGCTTAAACTTCCATCGCATGGTTTTGTGCGCGGAGTTGAGTATCAATATCCGAATATATCCGTAAGGTTCGTATTTCACTCGTAACCGGAGCTTGACTTATGAGGATTGATATCAAATCCTCGTCCCAAAAATTAAGTTTTGACTTATCATCTATTAATTTAGCATGCAAACTAGAATTTGATATAAATAAAAGTTAAATTCAATTTTTAAATATTATGTAAAACGAAAAATAAATATAATCATTTTTACGATTTTTTACAACAAATTTAGTTACAAAAAATATTTTCGGTTAACAATTAGAGCCGGAACGGTGCCGTACTACTGACATATTTTCGGTATTTATCGATATTCCATACCGTAGTACGGTACGGAATACGGTAGGAAGAATAGATCAGGCTAAAATTTTAAATTTTTATACATGGATAATATGTCGCTTGCCACTTAATATAGTTTAATTTTTGAGATTTATTAGGCCCCATTATTATTATAATTAGTAAAAATTAAGTAAAATATTATTAAAAGTATAAATTTTAAAAAAATTAAAATTAAATAAACTCTTAAAATTAATTTCCATTTCCTTCAATAGATTTATTAAAAACAACATCATCATCATCATCAGTATCTCCCCAATCAATTTCTATAATTAATAATTTGCCACTTTTAAGTTTTGATCAAAAAATATTAAAAACAAATTCATTACTTTATTTAAATAAACAAAAAGAAAAAGATAATATTTTAATTAAAATAATTATTCAATCAAAACTAAACAAACAAATTTTTATTGAAATTGGCCCTATAAATATACCAATTAATTTAATTAATTATATTGAAGAAAAGAAGGAAATTGAAGAAAATTTGGATTTTAATAATGAATATTTGGGTAGATTTTTTTAGAGAAAAAATATTTTTAATAAATATTTTTTAAAGGCAAACAATTAATTTTAAAAAGAAATAAACCAATAATTCTTGATAATACATTTAACGAAACTTTTGTTTATTTAACAACAGAATATCTTCAAATAGAGGTATATTAAAAAGGATTTTTTAAAAATATTTTTATGATCTAAATACAAGCCAGATACATTTCTACAAAATATATATTATTTTATTTTAAAAATACTTTAGAAAAAATATACTTATAGAGATCAAGACTCAAGTGTACTCAATCGACATATACCTAAAGTCTAATGTATTTGCATGAGTAGAGTAACTTACTCTGTGCTCTCTAACTTTGTCTTTTCTTTAAAAAATTAAATTGTAAATTAAACTTTTAAATTATCTGAATTAGGTAATAATTAGAGTAATCCTTTAAAATGAAAAAAACAAATTGTGGATATTATTTAATTGTTGAGGAATTTTGTGTACATAATAGATAAATAAGAAGAATCACAATTAAATATAATTAAAATTAATTTATAATATTCTTTTAATTTTAAAAAATTTCAATTTGTTTAAAGAGTTCAAACCTTCCAACAAACAAAATTCAATTCCTTGTGTGGCATCCAAAAGGGGGTATTATTCAATATTTAAATAATAATGTAATTAACAATGCTAAAACAATTTCTAACTTTACTCAAGAAGATATAAATAAAGGAAGAATTATTTTTTATTTCAACAATATTTTACAGCAGAATTCTGATAAAAAAGAAAACGTAAGAAATTTAATAAATAAAATAATGTGTTTATAATTAAATAATTCATTTTTTTAATATTTTTTTTCAAATTAAAAAAAACCGGGTCCGCGCAAAAAAACCCGTTTTTGGGTTTCTGGTAGCCTCGAAAAAATAGGTGTTTAAATTTTTTTATTAAAAAATGATAGATTTCTAGCCATACATAAATTGTATTTTTCTTGCATATTTTCGTCCATATTTCGGCACTTTTCTATACACATTATAGTACAAATTTTCCATTATTTATTGCATAAAAATCCGATCTCTATTTATGAGGATTGGCATCCAATCCTCGTCCCAAAAATTAATAATAAAAATAATATTAATAAACCACAGGAACAAATGAGATTGAATTTATATAATAGTTAAATTCAATTTTTTAATATTATGTAAAAATTAAAAATAAATAAAATAATTTTTACAAAATATTTACAACAAATTTAGAATTTAATAAATAAAATAATGTGTTTATAATTAAATAATTTTAAATAAATCACATATATTTTTCTGGGAGTATGCCAATCTATTCAGAGCCATATTTGGAATTAAAAATGTCTTACACGAGAACCTCCTCCTAAAATTTAAGTCAAAACTTTGAGCCATTATTGGTATCAATGGATCAACCATTTACTATAAAAGATTTTTGGCTTTTGGCCAAAATTAAGAGAGATTAAGAACATTTATTCGCTCATAAATTTATTAAAGTAAATTTAATTAAGGAAGAAATTGCCGGTTTTTATTTTTTCTATTCTGATGGAATTATTCAAAATAATGTAGAATGGTTTTCAATTCAACAAAAAACAAAAAATATCGAAGAAAATAATAAATTTGAAAGTAAAATCCCAACAAAATTAGAAAATTTTGAATTAGAAAGAAATTTAATTTTAAAGACAACCCCCGGTTTTCCTGCAATTATTGGGCAAGAGATACTTAAAGTGGCAGGAAATATTGTGAATAAATAAATAATTTAAACTTTTAAAATTAATTTTAAAGGATTCTAATCAAGTAATCTATCGTTTGACTACTCCTCCAAATCATGGTCGTTTGGTAATTTTTAAAAAAATATTTTGACCTTATCTGAAAGGGATGGGTCGCCTTTTTACTTTAAAATAGATCAAAAATCGCATGGATATATGATAACGAAATAGTATTTTAAATAGTTCTAATGTTAAGTTTCAAAAATAGCTGGCTCCTTTTAAACAAAAAATAAATTTTTGAATAAATTTTTGAATACATTTTCATTTACTCCCACAAATCATGGTTGATTGGAAATTTTTTTAATATTTGATCCTCTCTGAAAGGGATAGGTTGCCGTTTTATTTTAAAATAGATCAAAAATCGCATGGATATGTAATAACAAAATTAGTGTTTTAAATAGTCTAATCTTTTAAACAAAAAAATAATTTTTAAATACATTTTTATTTCAAATAAAAACAAATTTTCAAGTTTTTGAGAGGTGCAAAAGAGAAATTGGAACATTTTACTGAAGCAGATATAAATTCAAATAAATTAATATATCAATCATCAGCGTCAATAGGTTCTTGGAAATTAATGGATGAATTTGGATTTAAAATATATCCGTCATTAAATACATTTAATGGCGAAAATGATTCTAAAGAATTTAAATTAATTATTGAAAATGCTTATTCAAATATTGAAAAGAAGGATATTAATAAATTAATTGAAAATAAAAATATTTCTGTAACAAAAGGTGAGAGATTACTCGATTAATTAGCAGCTTTTAATTAGAACTCGAAGACTCTCCAAGCTTTTCTAGAAATTTTAAAATGATCGTTAAATACCGTATTTCCTAAAATAGTACTCCCGGGAGTACTATTTTTCAACCCTCCTCCAAAGGGGAGTACTATTTAAGGGGGGAGTACTAATTGAGGGGGGAGTACTATTTTTCAACCCTCCTCCATGATTTATTATAGGAAAATTTATTTTAAAATTCTAAATGTTAGAATTAGAGATTGTTATTTAAAAATGCCGGATCAGGAAGATTTGATTCGATTAGTGGATTTGGAGTGATATCGAGGGATATAAAGGGATTTAAGCGATTAAGACTAGATATCTAAATTTACACTCTACGTCCATCTTGAACTCCCGAACACATTTATACACTTGATATGCGTAAAATCCCCTAGACATCATTCAAGGGGATTTATCAGGAGATTACCTAATCTCCTGTGTATAGTGATTACCTGTGTCTAGTGTAATCCTGTGTCTAGAGATGTCCTAATCTCTGTGTCTAAGGATTTATCAGCATTAATCACCGATATCTTTCATATTCCTTTTGTTCTTCCAATATCCCTACGAATTATATGATATCCATATTTGGGCACCAGGGATCAAATGAGATAAGTTGGATATCAGTGTTTGGATGTCTGGGTATTTTTGATTAGAGGTAACGAAAAAATATCTGTGGATTAAGGAGGATTTATTATTAAATTTCATATCTTTATCACTCTTAATCAACCAAAATCGCCTAATATGACTCATCCTTCATTATTCCCTCAAATTCGTTTATGAAACCATAATGCAATGATATTTTTTAGACCCCACTTATCAATCCAGAACACATTTTATCACCCGATATAATCACTTATATCCTCAAATCCACTTTTATCCCACCAACTAATCACAATATATCTCTTTAATCGTCGACAAATTTTAGGTTAAAATTTCGGTTCGTTTTCGGTAACCGAAACTTGTTCGGTTTCGGTTATCGAAGAATCAAGTGAAACCGACAACCTACTTATGTAGAATAAATAAAATAAATAAATAAATTTCAATAAAATAATTCATTGAGTCTACTATATTTTTTTTAAATATAGGAAAAAAATATTTTAGGGGGGAGTACTATTTTAGGGGAGTACTATTTAAGGGGGGAGTACTATTTTTCAACCCTCCTCCGAAGGGGAGTATTATTTAAGGGGGGAGTACTAATTCAGGGGGGAGTATTATTTTAGGAAATACGGTAATTATTCTAAAAACCATCTCTAATCTAAATCTCTCCTAATATTGACAAAAATAAAAATAATTCTCAGGTGGCTCTGTTTCCATCAACAAATCTCATCTAAATTTAACTAAATTGGCTGAATATACAGAAGATTCCATTTTAATTCAATTACAAAAACCTCCAAAAAATGGTTGGCTTCAACGTTTAGATAATGACAATTTAGAGAATTTTGAAAGTGAAGAAGGAATGAATGGGGATGGAAAAAATAATAAATATAAAGTAAACTTAAATAAATAAATTTAAGTATAATTTTAATTAAAGTGGAACAAAGCATTGGATATTGAACAAATTCATTCAGGCTCTTATTTATTATATAAACATTTAAATGGAAATAAATCAAATGAAAATAAAGAAGATAATTTTACTTTAATTATTTATGGAAACATAGGAAATAGTGAAAATGAAATAAAAATAGAAATGTTTGTTAATATAATTGAAGCATCAGAATTATTAAAAGTATTTTATTAAAATTATTTGAATTCTTAAAAAATAAACATAGGGTGAGAGGGGTTGTCTCTGTTTCCCTTAACAGTGCCACCTAAGGTAAAACCCCGTATATCCAAAAATTTTCGGTTCGGGTACCGGTTCCGGATATCCGGAGATTTCCCAGGAACTGCCATCTTTAGTGCCACCTAACATGGTGGCTGGATGGGAAATAACCACATATTTAATAAATTAAAATTTAAAGATTCACCATTTCCCTCAAGAATTGTCTATAGTTTCTGGAGGATCTATTCAATTAAATTCTAATTTAATTTCTGCCTCTCATTCAACACTTGATGATTCCTCTATTTATTTTAATATTATTCAACCCCCTCAAAATGGAATTAGAATTATTTTAAAGGAGGATTCCCCATCTATATCTCCTTTTTCTTCCCTTGCTAATTTCACTCAAAAACAAATAAATGAAGGATCTATTTGGTTAGAACACACTCCAATAAATGAAAAACAATCTTGGGATGTTATTGGTTTAAATTTAAGAATTATTGGAGAGGGCGGAAAGATTTTAGATTCAGGCAATTATTTTTTCAAAGAATTTTTGATTAAAATTCCAAAAAATAATTTTAATGAAATTAACACTTTTTAGGCCATTCTCTTGTATTAATTATCAGAATTGAGCCTTTAGCTCTTCAATTACGCAATTTCACTGATATTACTTATATTCAAGGAAAAAATTATGTTATTTTAAATAGGTACTGTTTAATTGAGTTTTTTACTTCAAAAAAATATTTTTTAAAGATCCCATTTGGGTGCAGAATCGAATGGAGATAGATCTCGAATTTATTATAATATTACTAAACCCCCAGAAAATGGGACTTTTTATTGGGTAAATGGAGAAAAGGAATTAAATGGATTCACACAATTAAATATTGACAATAATGAAGTTTTGTATTCACAAATGAATATGAATTCATATCAAGTATTAGAATTAGAAAAATTGTTTAAAACTAATATTTTAAAGGATTCTTTTGAATTTATATTAAGTAATGACGAATTAGAATTACTTCCTAAGAAAGCAATTATTAAAGTTTTGCCTATATTTAAACCCCCAACATTTGTTATAAATTCGAGAACAATATTGCAACTTGGACTTTCACATCTTAATGCTAGTGAACTTGAAGTAGAAGAAGAAATATTTATTAATTTATTAAATATTAAATTTACAAGGGCTCCTCACCTCGTTATTTAATTTTACCTGATGGAGTACCCAGAGATGGAAGATTTTTTGTCCATCCACATTCTAATGAATCTACTTTATTTTTTACACACGATGATATAGTTAACGGAAGATTATATTTTCATGCCTTTGATGTTAAATATAGAACTGTTAATAATGTTGTTCTTGAACTTAGATCGGTCGGTTATTATTTAGAGACGAGGAATAAACTTACAGCAAAAATGTAATGTAATGTAAATAATTTCAGAATTTTGGCTTAGTTTTAAAAATTTAAAATTGTTTTCCACCCAAAATTTTTTTGAATAATTTTAATTAATTTAAAGGACAGAGTCCAGCCAGCATTAATTCACTGGCCAATAATTATACGTCCATCAGATAATATAGATACAGTGAATGAAATCCAATCTGGAATAGTTGAAGAAGAAAGAGAACATCAATATAAATCCCAACCAAAACAACAAAATCAAAAAACTTTCCTAGACAATCAAATAATTCCCCCTCCCCCACCTGACATGAATTACCATTTTCCTGTTTGTTTTTTTCTTTTAAAAAATAAATCCAAATTTTTATTTAAAGATAGCTATTCTTATTGCTGTAGTTCTTCTAGTTGTTGGTATTTTATTATGTAGAAAGAAAACCCCTCCAGAAGATATAGCTAGTAGCGAAGAAGGGGATGATACTACTCGTTATCAACAACAAAAATCAAATGGAACTGATAGTTTTAGGGAAAGAAATGGAAGTTCTAAACATAAAAAATCTGCCCCAGAAAATGGAATTAATCAAAAGTTGGAGAATTTTTTTATTTAAAAAAAATTAGTATTATTTTTTTCTAGTTTGGACTCTTCTAAAAATCAACAAAAATTAAGTGTTCCCTCTTCTTGTTTAGTTACAGAAAATGAAATAAGGCCAAAAAATATTTTAGAATCAACTGTTTATGCTGCTATAAATAATAAACAACACAAGGATTCTATTGTTAGGTAAAAATTATTTTGACTTTTATTGGAGAGGATTGGGTGATTGATTATTAGAACAAATATATTTTTTGGTAGAAACGATTTTGAATTGTTTAAATATGTTTATCTTGAATTATTTATAACTTCCTTTAATTCGATAATTATTTTAATAAACTACAGAGGTCGGTCAAATGCCGACGTTTATTCCTTCCAATTTCCGAAATTTTGGGAAAATTTCCGAAAATTTTTAGAGTATCGTTCCAACTGGAGCTTTTGTCTAAAAGATGCCTGAAGCGTCGGCACAACACGAAAACTGTAATCGTACTTATGAGGATTGGTACCAAATCCTCGACCCAAAAATTAAGCAGAATTATACTAATTAACATAAACTGAACCCATAAGATATAATTTATTATTAATAAAATTTAAATTCAATTTTTTAATATTATGTAAAAATGAAAAATAAATAAAATAATTTTTACAAAATTTTTACGACAAATCTAGTTTCAAAATATTTTTAAGTAACAATATATTAAAATATCCCTAGGATATTTTTAAACAAAAAATATTTTTTTTCGTTTGGCTATCTGGGGATTTGTTGGGATTAAGTGTAATTTCAAGAAATATCGGTGGAATTAGGAGACGATGATTTATGATTTCCGAGGACTTTTGAGTTATTTCCTTCGACATTTCTTCTTATAACCATCAATCTCTCACAATAGTGAGAGAGAAACTTCTCTCTAAATCCATGTTTGCCTTATCAAAAATCTTTGAAAGTTTGACAATCTTAAAAACTTTTTTATTTTTTTAGTAGAAAACTTGCTCAAGAAACAGAATCAACATTTTATTCTGATGATGGGGGTGTTTATGTTGGAGAAGAAAATAAAAAGAAAAAATTAGAACTTCCATTATTAATTACCCCATCATCTACAGCTTATTATGCAACAGCAACAATTCCTTCAATAATTTCAAATCAATCAGATATAACATATTTACATACTGGGACATTAAAAGAAAAAGATTTACATTCAAAAAGAAGGAGGGATTCATCTAGACCAAGTATCCTTTCAATGAGGTAATTTTTTGAATGTAAAGAGAAATTATTTTAATTAAAAAGAAATGATTCAAAAGAAAGACAGCAATTATTAGCGTCAGCAGTTAATGAAGCATTTGCTAATACAAGAAGTGCAGATGGAAGGAGAAAGGAATTTTTGATTCCAAATGAAGATAATGAACAATTAAAAATTGAACAAGAAAATGAGGAAAAGGGGAAAGAAAGGGGGAAAAGTACTGAATTTTGGGTTTAATTATTGTATAATAAATTTTGTGTTTTACATAATATTTATTTTTATATTTTTTATTAAAAATACAACTGCTTTTTAATTTTTTTAGATTTTTGATAGGTATTAGGATATTGGAAATAATTTCTTATTTCCTGATAATGTTCCGCCGGAACCGTAAATATAAAAAACGAAATTCAAATTGGGCCAACCGGAACTTCCGACGGAATACTTAATTAGAGGTTAGAAAAAGAAAATTACAAAAATTAGTAATTGTTGGTTGTTTAACGTTTTTTTGTTCTTTTAAATTGGCCAAACTCAACCAAAAGAAAAAAAAAATTATAAAGTAGCTGGCAATACGTCTTAAAATCGATTTTTGTTGGCTTTGCTTTAAAATAAAATTTTTTGTCAATAAAAGAATAACTAAACAAATTCATGGCCTTTATTTTAAAAAAATAAAATTTTTTTTTTTTTTTAGACAAAAGCATATTTATTTATTTATTTATTTATTTATTTATTTATTTACGTATTTTAAATACGCGTCCACAATATAAAAAAAATGAAACATATATATGGTCAAATACAAAATTAAAACAAACAAGAACACTACAAAAAATTTGTCAAATTTAAAGTCTAATAAGTATATCCTTAAACAAAAAACACACAAAAAAAATAAAATAAAAAATACGACAACAAATATAGGTATAAAATATGCTTAGTGACTATGGATATAATAAAGTTTATTCTATAGTATAATTTATAATTATAGTTAGAATAATATTTTTTATATCACTGGCATTAAACAAATTTTATGACTTGTGAATTACAAATGTCTTTTGCTTATTTTAAATAATTTTGGAAAGATCAATTTTGTTTAAAGCATTTCTAAATGTCTGAATTTTTTGGATAAGTAAAATATCATGAGGTAGTTTAGGGTAAAGTCTGGCCATTCTATCTAAAAAGAAATGATGTCTTACATTTAAAACTGAACTATTTATTTGAATCTGAAATTTATTTTTCCGATTTGTGGAGTTTATTTTTGGATAATGCGGCTGATCTAGTTTAATATAACCGTGTATAATTTTGTGATAGCATATAATATCATTGATTAAGAGTCTGATTTCAATAGATTTTAAGTTTAAGATAATAAGCAGATCATCATAACAAGGTTTGTTAGGATATAATTTTTGAAGAGTTCTATAATAAATTATTTTTACTGCCATTTTCTGAACATTTTCAAGTTTAATTAATTCTGGTTTAAGATAAGGCTTGAAAATTTGTGAGAAATTTTCTAATAAAGGTCGAACATATATAGTATAAGCTTTTGTAAGAAATGAAGGATTATTAGTTTTGATAGATTTGAATAGAGAGAAAAGCCTAATATAGGCCCTTTTTCTAATAAAGTCAATATGAGAAGACCATTTTAGACTAGGTGATGTTAAGATACCTAAATCTCTATGAAAACTATTTACAGATTCGATTAATTGATTGGAGAGATGATAAGGAAATTTAGAGTTTCTTTTTCCTAGATATAGAACTCTACATTTTTCTATTGATATATTTAACTCATTTATATCAGCCCAATTTTTTATTTTAGAAATACATTCTTGTAGGAGTAATCTTTTATTTGTATTTGAATGGATTATATATGCTTTGAAATCATCCGCAAAAAATTTAAAACTAACATCTTGTGTAAAACAATTTTTAACAATATCATGAATATAGAATATGAAAAGGATGGGGCCTAATACGGAGCCCTGAGGCACACCGGATTTTGCATATGATATGTCTGAAAATTTATTATTTATTTTTACAGAGTAAGTGCGGAATTCCAAAAAATTTTTTAGCCATAATAATAAGGGATTACCTATTCCATTTTTTGATAGTTTTTCTAATAATTTTTTGTGAGATACCGAATCAAATGCCTTAATGAAATCGAAATAAATTATATCTACGCAAAGATTTTCATTTAGAGCATTGGTCCAATCATTATGAGCTTCTATTAATTGAGAAACTACTGATTTATTTTTCATAAAACCGTGTTGGGAAGAAGGTATTATATTTTGTAAAGCAATTAATAAATGGTCTTTTATAACTTTTTCGAGTACTTTTACTAGAGAACAAGTCAAAGATATTGGTCTATAATTTGCTAAATTTGAGCTATCCCCACTCTTAAGCAAAGGAACAATAGTACTATGGGTCCAAACAGAAGGTAATGTTCCAGTCATCATAGAATATCTGAAAATTTGAGTAATCGGATGGGTTAAAGTTCCTGCACATTTTTTAAGAAAATAATTGTTTATACCATCGGGTGATGTGTTTTGTTTAGATTGAAGTTTTATTAGGGTTTCATAAACATCAATTTCCGAAATATCTACATAACTTAATTTAGTAATAGATGAATTTTCATAGTCTGAATTTGAACTCGTGGGTATGTCTTTGTTAAATATGGTGTGAAAATAATTTCCAAAAAGATTAGCTTTTTCATTATCAGTATTTACTAAAATGTTTCTGGAGTTATCCTTTATTGCGGGAATACTAAGATTTTTTACCTTAAGTTGTGATGAGATATAGTTAAAAACTTTTTTTGGATTCTTATCACTTATTAATTTGTTTTCCCTATATTTATAGAATTTTTTAAGTTCTTTTTCAAATCTTTTGTTAACATAATTGAATTTAAATTTTATTTTGGGATCATGAATATCTTTCCAGAGAAGAGATCGATACTCGTTTATTTTTGTTAAATGCGGAGGGAGTTTTAAGAATGAAATATTAGTAACAGGAATAAATTTATTGATTAAATCGTTTATAGTATTAGTAAAGATTTCATAGATTGTATTTATATTATAAGGAACTGCATATACAAAAAGAAAATTCCAGTTTATTTGAGATATATGTAGGTTTAAGGAATTATAGTCACCTAGAGAAAAATTTAATATTTTATTTTTATTTATCTTTTCATTCTTTAAATTTATATCGAATGAGAATTGATTATGATCAGAGGTTGAAAAGGGAGGAAGTGAGGATAAGTTAGAAATGTGATTTAAATTGTCAGTTATTAATAAGTCAAGAATGTTAGAAGATCTAGTTGGGAAATCAATATGTTGAACTAGATTAGAATGTGTAAGGAATTCTTTAAAAGTATGGTTATTTTCCGATTGATTTTCAGACCAGTTAATATTTGGGAGATTAAAATCCCCAGATATAACAACAGAATAGGGAACAGATATTAGATTTCCAAGAATATATATTAAATCTGTAAATTGTTTATCTGAAGTTTTGGGGGGTACGTAAATGTTAATCAGCCGGATTTTTTCTCCTAAACAGTCTGTAAGATCAATACATAAAATGTCAAAATTAAATCGATTTTTTTGTAACTTTATGTTACTGACTGAAAAAATATTAGATAGAATTATGGCCACACCTCCACCCCTTTTTGGTCTATCAGTTCTAAAAATTTTATATGGTAAGTCGTTAATTAATAAAGTGTCGGAAAATTCTGAGGTTAACCACGTTTCTGTTATTAAAATTATTTGATATTTAAATGAGGCTAATATGAAATGTAAATCTGTAAGTTTATTTTTAATAGATCTTGCATTGAAATATAAACATTTTGCTAGTGGTCCATGTGATAATTTTAAAAAGAATCGTGGTTAAAAGCCCTAACTATTTTCCCTTTATAGATTTTCCAAGGTGGTTCACCTTCTTTAAGAGCATTATTTCTCTCACGGCATTCTTTTCTCAGTTCAAATTCTTTTTGTCGTTCCTCTCTAGTTTGTGATGGGCGAATAAAAATATTAGAAAGGGAAGGTGATGACCGAAGAGATTTTGCACGAGCGAGAACTAGTCGTTGATGGAAAGAGGACGGCATAATAACTTTAAGTGGTCGGCCCTTGTTGTCAGTCCGTTGTTTTCCCATTCGATAAATTGTTACAGGGTCAGCAGGAATTCCCAACGAATCAATAATGTTGTTTATGGTTTTTTTATCATTAACAAATTTTTCCCTATCATTCCGACCCTCAGACTCAGGAACGCCTACAACCACAATCGAGCGGCTTTTTTCCTTATCCTCGGGCGGTGAATCGGAATTTTTGGTGCTTAGATGTTGCTCAATTTTAATAAGTGATTCTTGTAGGGTCGAAATTTGCTTTGTCTGTTGTATCACAAGAGTTACTAATAGATTAATTGTCGAAATTAAATCAGGATTAGAATTCGATGGGGAAATAGAAATACCAGCTGTTGTCAATTTTGTCTGAATTTCAGCCAGTCTATCAGAAGAATCGATTTCTGATACACTGTTTTTAGAGCGCTTTCTTGTTGAAGAATTAGTCAGTGTTGCCATTTTAATTTTATTTAGAAAAATAATAGGAAGAGTGTGCAGATCTCTTCAGATCTCTTTATTATGGTACATCGGGGTGTACCCTATGGGAAATAAGCACAAATTTAATGAATTAAAATTTAAAGATTCACCATTTCCCTCAAGAATTATCTATAGTCTCTGGAGGGTCTATTCAACTAAATTCTAATTTAATTTCTGCCTCTCATTCAACACTTGATGATTCCTCTATTTATTTTAATATTATTCAAAACCCTCAAAATGGAATTAGAATTATTTTAAAAGAAGATTCTTCCTCCTTATCTTCATTTTCTTCACTTGTTAATTTTACTCAAAAACAAATAAATGAAGGATCTATTTGGTTAGAACACACTCCAATAAATGAGAAACAATCTTGGGATGTTGTTGGTTTAAATTTAAGAATTATTGGAGAGGATGGAATGATTTTAGATTCAGGCAATTATTTTTTGAAATAATTTTTGATTTTTTGATTAAAATTCAAAAAATAATTTTAATTAAATTAAAAACTTTTTTAGGCCATTCCCTCGTATTAATTATCAGAATTGAGCCTTTAGCTCTTCAATTACGCAATTTCACTGATATTACTTACATTCAGGGGAAAAATTATGTTATTTTAAATAGGTACTGTTTAAATGAGTTTTCTACTTCAAAAAAAATATTTTTAAAGATCCCATTTGGGTGCAGAATCGAATGGAGATAGGTCTAGAATTTATTATAATATTACAAAATCCCCAGAGAATGGGACTTTTTATTGGGTAAATGGAGAAAAAGAATTAAATGGATTTACTCAATTAAATATTGACAATAATGAAGTTTTGTATTCACAAATGAATATGAATTCATATCAAGTACACTATAATTTAAAATAAAAAATTATTGTTTAAAATTAATATTTAAAGGATTCCTTTGAATTTATATTAAGTAATGATGAATTAGAATTACTTCCTAAAAAAGCAATTATTAAAGTTTTACCTATATTTAAACCTCCAACATTTGTTATAAATTCGAGAACAATTTTACAACTTGGACTTTCACATCTTAATGCTAGTGAACTTGAAGTAGAAGAAAAAATATTTTTTGAAATAATTTTTTTAATTTAAAAGGGCTCCTCACCTCGTTATTTAATTTTGCCTGATGGAGTGCCTAGGGATGGAAGGTTTTTTGTCCATCCACACTCCAATGAATCTACTTTATTTTTTACACACGATGATATAGTTAACGGACGATTATATTTTCATGCCTTTGATGTTAAATATAGAACTGTTAATAATGTCATTCTTGAACTTAGATCGGTCGGTTATTATTTTAAGACGATGAATAAACTTCAATCAAATATGTAAAGTAAAGTCGATAACCTTTCTTCTATCAAAATAAATTTTGAATTTCCTATGAAAATTTTTTTGAATAAATTTTAAAAAATTAATTTAAAGGACAGAGTCCAGCCAGCATTAATTCATTGGCCAATAATTATACGTCCATCAGATAACATAGATACAGTAAATGAAATCCAATCTGGAATAGTTGAAGAAGAAAGGGAACATCAATATAAATCCCAACCAAAACAACAAAACCAAAAAACTTTCCTAGACAATCAAATAATTCCCCCTCCCCCACCCGACATGAATTACCATTTTCCGGTTTGTTTTTCTTCTTCTTAATTAAATAAATCCAAAATTTTATTTAAAGATAGCTATTCTTATTGCTGTAGTTCTTTTAGTTGTTGGTATTTTATTATGTAGAAAGAAAACCCCTCCAGAAGATATAGCTAGTAGCGAAGAAGGAGATGATAATACTCGTTATCAACAACAAAAATCAAATGGAACTGATAGTTTTAGGGAAAGAAATGGAAGTTCTAAACATAAAAAATCTGCTCCAGAAAATGGAATTAATCAAAAGTTGGAGAATATTTTTATTTAAAAAAAATTAGTATTATTTTTTTCTAGTTTGGACTCTTCTAAAAATCAACAAAAATTAAGTGTTCCCTCTTCTTGTTTAGTTACAGAAAATGAAATAAGGCCAAAAAATATTTTAGAATCAACTGTTTATGCTGCTATAAATAATAAACAACACAAGGATTCTATTGTTAGGTAAAAATTATTTTGACTTTTATTGGAGAGGATTGGGTGATTGATTATTAGAACAAATATATTTTTTGGTAGAAACGATTTTGAATTGTTTAAATATGTTTATCTTGAATTATTTATAACTTCCTTTAATACAATAATTATTTTAATAAACTACAGAGGTCGGTCAAATGCCGACGTTTATTCCTTCCAATTTCCGAAATTTTGGGAAAATTTCCGAAAATTTTTAGAGTATCGTTCCAACTGGAGCTTTTGTCTAAAAGATGCCTGAAGCGTCGGCACAACACGAAAACTGTAATCGTACTTATGAGGATTGGTACCAAATCCTCGACCCAAAAATTAAGCAGAATTATACTAATTAACATAAACTGAACCCATAAGATATAATTTATTATTAATAAAATTTAAATTCAATTTTTTAATATTATGTAAAAATGAAAAATAAATAAAATAATTTTTACAAAATTTTTACGACAAATCTAGTTTCAAAATATTTTTAAGTAACAATATATTAAAATATCCCTAGGATATTTTTAAACAAAAAATATTTTTTTTCGTTTGGCTATCTGGGGATTTGTTGGGATTAAGTGTAATTTCAAGAAATATCGGTGGAATTAGGAGACGATGATTTATGATTTCCGAGGACTTTTGAGTTATTTCCTTCGACATTTCTTCTTATAACCATCAATCTCTCACAATAGTGAGAGAGAAACTTCTCTCTAAATCCATGTTTGCCTTATCAAAAATCTTTGAAAGTTTGACAATCTTAAAAACTTTTTTATTTTTTTAGTAGAAAACTTGCTCAAGAAACAGAATCAACATTTTATTCTGATGATGGGGGTGTTTATGTTGGAGAAGAAAATAAAAAGAAAAAATTAGAACTTCCATTATTAATTACCCCATCATCTACAGCTTATTATGCAACAGCAACAATTCCCTCAATAATTTCAAATCAATCAGATATAACATATTTACATACTGGGACATTAAAAGAAAAAGATTTACATTCAAAAAGAAGGAGGGATTCATCTAGACCAAGTATCCTTTCAATGAGGTAATTTTTTGAATGTAAAGAGAAATTATTTTAATTAAAAAGAAATGATTCAAAAGAAAGACAGCAATTATTAGCGTCAGCAGTTAATGAAGCATTTGCTAATACAAGAAGTGCAGATGGAAGGAGAAAGGAATTTTTGATTCCAAATGAAGATAATGAACAATTAAAAATTGAACAAGAAAATGAGGAAAAGGGGAAAGAAAGGGGGAAAAGTACTGAATTTTGGGTTTAATTATTGTATAATAAATTTTGTGTTTTACATAATATTTATTTTTATATTTTTTATTAAAAATACAACTGCTTTTTAATTTTTTTAGATTTTTGATAGGTATTAGGATATTGGAAATAATTTCTTATTTCCTGATAATGTTCCGCCGGAACCGTAAATATAAAAAACGAAATTCAAATTGGGCCAACCGGAACTTCCGACGGAATACTTAATTAGAGGTTAGAAAAAGAAAATTACAAAAATTAGTAATTGTTGGTTGTTTAACGTTTTTTTGTTCTTTTAAATTGGCCAAACTCAACCAAAAGAAGAAAAAAATTATAAAGTAGCTGGCAATACGTCTTAAAATCGATTTTTGTTGGCTTTGCTTTAAAATAAAATTTTTTGTCAATAAAAGAATAACTAAACAAATTCATGGCCTTTATTTTAAAAAAATAAAATTTGGCCCTAGAAAATACTCTTTTTTGTTCCCTGTCTTTTAATTAAAAAATTTTTTTTTATTTCCTGAATTTTTTTATTTTTTGAGAAACAATATTAGTAATTTGTATCAAATTCTAAATTTCAAATTTTGAAAAATCAAAGTTCGCAGTTATTTATTTGTTACACGTAACTCAAACTGTGCTTATATTTTTCAATGGGTTATTTTAGTGGGCTTATACATATTAGAGACTGGGCTTATATTTTTCGATAGGGCTCCTTGGGTGGGCTTATATTAAAGAAGGGCTTCTATTAGAGTATTTACGGTATATTATTTAACTAATGAAAAAAACTTTTCAGTAATAAACTTAATAATTAAGAGAAAATTAAATGAGCTTTTTAGAAATTAATGATTGTAATAATTTATATAAAATAATTGGTTGTTCTAAAAACGCTACAGTAAGTTATCTGAAAACTTTAAAAAAATAATTTTCGTTTTTTAAATAAAGTCTGATCAAATTTTGGTTGAATATAAACAAAAAGCTCTTTTGTTACATCCGGACAAAATTAAAAATAAAAATATATCTGAGGATGAAATTAAAGAAAATTTTCAAAAATTACAAGTATTTTCTAATTATTAAGACTAAAAAATTAATTAATCTCTCATTCAGTTTGCAAAGGATATTTTAACAAATCCACAAAAACGGAAGCATTATGACCTTTGGATGGATGTTGGTTTTTCAGAATTTTCTCTTCAAGAATGGATGAATAATCAAGAAAAATTACAACAAGTATATTCTTTCCCTCTTCTTAACAAAATTTTTGAAATTTAAAATAGACATTACATTGGGGACAACAAAAAGAGAAAGGAAAATTAAAGGGAATATCAGCAGAATGTAAAGATAGAGGAAATGAATCATGGAAGGGTTGTAATTCACCTACGTCGAGAGCTTTTAGAGAATATAAAATATAGAAAATGGAAGCTTATCTTCAAAAATATTTTTTTAAAAATCATTTTATAATTCCCTTATATTCCTTTTTTACTAGTGAGCGGCAAAATCATTTTTCCGGGCCCGGAAACCGGATTTTGGATTTCTCACTCATGCCGGACCGGATCCGGCCGGATTAATCCGGTCCGGTTTTAGTCCTGAAATTTAAAAAAACCCAGATTTGGGATCCGGACTCCGGAAAAATCCGGCCGGATCTGGTCCGGTGCCGCTCACTACTTTTTACAGTATACCTAAATAAATATTTTTGGCGTTCTGTTATTTTGACGAATTATTTGTATTTATTCTGATATATTTTTCTAAATTAAAATCATTTTGTATAATTTTCATTTAATTTTTGGAAATATTTTTTATTCCAGATGATTTCAGAATCTTGATAAAGGATTTTTTAAACCTTACACAAAAATGCCCCCCTTACAAGCTTTTGGGCATCATTGGAATATTTCAAAGTTTATTTTACAAATTAATTTTATTTAATTTTTCTCAAATTTTCAGTGATGATTTTGTCTTTCCTGGATTAACTGATTTAATTGTTAGAAGTTTTTGGTAAAAATATTATTTTTAAATTAAAAAATAATTTTCTTTAAAAGGGTTATTTGTTCTCTAATTATTTTTATTGTTCACAATCCTTTTGGTTGTTCAACCTATGTTTGGTTACCTATTGTTTCTTTAATGATTTTTGTAAATTTTCTTTCTGGTGGCCTCTCTTTTGCTCTAGCAATGCTTAGCGCTCAGGGATCAATAATGGAAATGGAAAAGAGGAGACATGTCTCAACATTATTATATGCTAGACTTCCTGTATTTTTTGTTGAAGTAATTTGGACAATTATAACGACTTTGCTTTCTTTTAGTAAATTTTTTTTTGAAATTATTTTTCTTTTTATAAAATTCAGATATTTTCTACAATGCTGATAATCTCTGTAAAATTGAAAGTGGAATTCGTATTGCTGTTGTTATTGAGTGGATTCTAGTCATTTCTATATTTATTGGTGCAATATGTGTTTTTAATCCACACGAGGGGCGAAGAATGGACAGATCTTTGGTTGATGAACGGTTATATTGGAAACGAAATTTTTTTCTGGTTTGTTTTTTATTATCAAAAAAATCCGAAGGAAATTTGGTTGGAGTTGGGCTTTTGGGAATTTTTTAAGCGAATAGTAAAACCTTTGTTTTTGGCTCTGTTCAGCTTTTTGGAAATATTTCCTAATATGTTTGGTTTTTTTGTTTCTTACAAGGAGAGGTTGCGAGGTGGCCGACCTAAAAACGGTCGAGACCGGGCTCATTCGATAGAGAATGTGCCCTTTCTAGCAAGGATTTTGAGCCGCCTTTGCCCGTTTTTTGATTTGGCCAAGATATGGCACTCCAAAGTCCCAAAATTTGGCATAATTCTAAAAAGATTTTATTTTAACCTTGAATAACAATTTTTGCATTTTATTTAAATTGCCAATTTTTCAGTGCAAAATGCGTGCTGATAACCAAGTTCGTCAGGCATTAGACGATATTGCAACGCTCATCTCTCAATTTTTTGAAGACAATAATTATGTTATTTCTGACATTATTGCTGGCCTTCTTCTTCTTGTACACTCACCACACAAACGTATTCCACCTCCAATTGAGTCAATTATTAAAAATGAACATGAATTGCCGCATTGGATGAAGGTTATTTTTTAAAAGATTTTTTTGAAATTTTTTATTTTCAAGTTGCCAAATTGTTTAAAATATGCTAGTCGTTACTTTGAATTTGCTTTTGCGGTTTATGGATGGCCACATTATGTTGGTTGGTTTTTTAATTTTAATTTAATAATTTATTTATTATTTCTAGCCTGTAATTGTGCTTGTGGTGCTTGGTATCTTCTCTGTAAGAAACTCAATTGTTGTTGCCGTAAACAGTTTGTTTTAAATTTAATGGAAAATAATTTTAGATTTTAGTGATAATCGCCGAGATTTTATGTTAATGGGTGATAATTGTTGTTCTTGTCATAGCAGGTTATTTTTTTACTTCTTTTTTATTTTGGGAAGAATATGAAATTATAAGGTTAAAATTAGTAATCCTGTAAATTATACAAGTTTAATAAGAGAAATAAAAATTTACATATTTAAGGATACCCGTTAAGTACCCACTAGAGAGTGAGCTGGATCTGGATCCACACCTTGATTTTTCTTGGATCCAGATCATGGCATTTTTCAGAGTTCCTTGATTTTTCCTTGGCTCGAGGTCAAGAATCTGGTCAAGGTACCCAACCGAAATCAAGGTCAAGGTTTTTTTTGAAAATCTAGCTTTCCACCCGTATTCTTATTTGTTTTAGAATTATTTGAAACAAATTAATGTTTTTAATTTAAGTGCCCTTGAATTAATGTTGGACGATGAATGTACACCTGCTTTTGTTTGTTTCCGAAACGGACTTTTTGAAGTACCTTTTGCCGTTGTTATTGACCATCATACTAATTCAATTGTTATAGCAATACGAGGCAAATTTAAATTTATTCAATTTTTCAGGAAAATATTTTTAAAGGTTCCGCATCATTTATGGACATAATAACTGATCTTTCACTCGATGATGAAACGCTGGACTCAATTGATGTGGATAGTGACCCAATTCTACGTTCAGACAAGGAATTGGACGGTTTTTAGATTAACATTTATTTAAAAATAATTTTTTAAATTTCCAGGTTACGGCGAAATTCGTGTCCATAAAGGAATTTTAAAAAGTGCTCGATATATTTACGAGACTTTACAAACCAATCATGTCATTGAAGATGCTCAACAACGCTGTCCAAATTACAATATTGTAATTTGTGGGCATTCTTTGGGTGCTGGTATTGGTTCTTTATTGGCACTTTTTTTAAAGTACTTTTTCTAATCTTAAAAAAAATTTCTTTTAAAAAAGGATCAAGTATCCGGATATTCGTTGCTATGCCTTTGCACCGCCAGGGTCTGTAGTAAGCGAAAATGGAATTTATGTTACTGAAAAATCAACGTTATCTTTTGTGTTGGGTGATGATGTTGTTCCTCGAATGACTTTCCAAGTATTTTTAAATTTTATTTTTTATATTTCATATTTTTAAAGTCAATATCTCTTCTAAAAACGGAAGTTGAGAGAGAATTAACAACAACAGACAAAGCAAAATATGAAATTTTAATTAAAGGAATTTTCAAATTGATTGTCTCTTATCCTTTTTCATTACATAGAGGTTTAATTAAATTATTTAAATGATTAATTTTCATTCTCAATTTAGCTGACAATATATCCACCCAAGGATTTGCAAACCTAACAGAGAACAATAATGATATGAGGCATTCAGAAAATATTGGAACTAGAGAGGAGAGAATAATGGTATATTTTAAATTAGTTTTCAGCAAAAAAATAATCTTTTTTAGCTTCGACCTCCAGGCAATCTGCTTCACCTAACCTTTGAAAACCAGAAAATCAAAGATCGGGTCAATGTCAATTGGATTGATCATTCATCGCTCGCTGAAATACAGGTACAAACTTTATTCTTGTTAGCAAAATTTTTGCCATGCCTCTGACTTGACGTTTAAAATAAATTTTGTTTTAGCTTACAAGTTCAATGCTCAGCGATCACTTGCCATATAATATTCACAGAGCACTTTTGATAGCAAAGGAATATTAAAATGCCCATAATATTTTTGCATAATTTATTGATTCTTCGAATGACTTGTATTAAGATATCTTCTTTTATAATCTAATCTCAATTTTAAGCAGAAATTTTTAGAAACAAATTTTATTTGCTTTTAGTCTAATTTTTGTTCGATATTTATTTTTAGAATTCTGTTGTAAGTAATTTTCCTATTCATTTTCCCATACAACGATTGTGATTTTATTCATTTTCTCCTTAGTAAATACATATATTTCTTAAACAATCATTATTTGTACGGGTAATTTCAAATCTTTGGGGCTCATTTTTGGGTTAAAAATTTGAACAAACAAATGGGCATGAAAGATAAAATTAATTTTTTCATACTATGCCTTATGGCAGTATTCATTAAACGAACTCCTTTTCCTTTCCGTGAGGTTGTAAATACAAAATCAAAAAGTCTTAATGTGAAAAAGAAATGGAAAGGGAGGTCGTTTTTCTGAAAAGGTTTTAAAAACTTTAAATATTCAAATTTACTTTCCAAAACATCTAAATTGTAAGCCGATCAATTGCTTTTCTAAGTTCAATATTCGTGCATTGGGGATGAACCAAAGTTGTCAACAATTCAGTACATAAGTGATCACAAAGGCCCGGGCTCGCATCTTCAGCTCGTCGCAGTGCTATTGCAATTGTTTCCAAATCAGCGGCTCCATGACGAGTTCGAGACAATTTTTCCAGAGCCGGCAAAAAGGCTCGCGTTAATGATCCGCGTGGAGTAACAAGACGTGGTGTAATTGGCGGTGGAGAAGAGGCATTTGCCATTGGAGAAGTTGTAACAGGAACAGAAAATGTAAATGACGAAACTTCATTATTGCTAGATTTGTTGACATTAGGTGTCGTTACAACTGGAATGACATTTCTTTTGCCCTCACGAATTACAACGGTTGATGTTGAATTGCCTACAAAAATATACAAAAATAAGTTTAATTTTCGTTAAATAACCTGCAGGAGACTTCACAGTATTTTGATTATTATGCACTTCTGAATGCTGGTTCGTTTGATGATGATTCTCTACAAACTGTTTCTGTATATTTTGCTGGGATGTTGTAGATGGCATCCGTAAAGTATCAATATTTATCACAGATGTATTGTTTTGAAGGTGTTGGGTTCGGACATTCGAAGAGGCGACCTGAAAATTTCATGTGAATAAAAATAGTAAACAAGAAAAACGGAATCAGTTGTAGCTACAGATTAGATATTTATTGTTAGAAAAACCCCACTCTAAAAATAACAAACCTTAATAGTAGCCACATTGTCAGCTGTCTCGTTAACAGCTTTGCTAACACGTTCCCATTTATCACCATCAACATCTCCCAATCCTCTCATTCCGTCTTCAGTTGGACTTCTCAGAGTTGGATAATCCCATTGAGTTCCACCCGAATTTGAGTCTGCGTCAGAATCTTGGTCAGAATCCGCATTTTGTTGAGAAATATTACGGGCACGATATTCCAAACTGCGCTCAATCACATCACGAAGAATTTCATTTTTACGTGCATTTTGGATAAATTTGTGACGAAGTAGTTCCTTGACTGGAGGGCGCTACAAGTTAAATCAAGTTATTGGGACCTTTTAACGAGTCGCTTACATTTTCAGGGTCCTTGTTAAGACACAATTCAACAAATTCCTTAAAGCTCTTGCTCCACTGATTGCCATGAAGTTGAGGTGGAGGGTTCTTTGGAATGAGAAATAGAACACTCATAGGATGCCTAATAAATTAGAAATAAAACAAAAAATTGGAAAAAAAACAAACAAATCAGAATGTGGAGGTTCCCTATTTGCCAACTCAAGCGCAGTTATTCCAAGTGACCAGATGTCAGCCTTGTAGTCATAATTTGATTGTTTAATTACCTCAGGGCTAAAAATAAAAAAAATAATTTTTATAGAAAAATGATTAAAAGTAATTTTTATTCTGACAATAAAGAAACAAGTGTGGGCCGGATACTAGACCAGTGCTGGGTATTTGCCATTTGTTGGCTCCGGCTCCGGCTCCGGGCTCCGGGGTTTCAAATTCTTGGCTCCGGCTCCGGGCTCCGGGGTTTCAAAATCTTGGCTCCGGCTCCGGGCTCCGGCCTTTTAAAATCTTGGCTCCGGCTCCAGCTCCGGCTCCGGAGCCGGCGATTTTCGGAGCCGCTCCATGTTGGCTCCGGGCTCCGGGTGGAAAATCAATGAATTATTTTTCATTGGGTGATTTGTGTAGATAAAGAGGGATATCGAATGATATAAGAGGATTAAGAGAGTTATCACCGGATTAAGCGGGATTTGGGTGGATTATCGTGTTATTTAGGTGGATTACGGGCGATATCGGGGGAATTAAGGAGATCTGTATCCAAAAATCTTCCTTTTTTGCGCCGCAGGCGAAAATTTTGAAAATTTTGGACAATCCTTAAGCAAAAAATCTTCCTTTTCAGCGCCGCAGGCGAAAATTTTGAAAAATTTTGACAATCCTTAAGCCAAAAATCTATTTTTTTTTGCGAAGCAAGTGAAAATTTTGAAAAAAAAGACTAAAATTAATCAAGTTAAAAATTTATCCAGCTTTATTTAATAAAAAAATGATTATTATAATTTATTTTCCAAATAAAAACACTTCTTTAATTATTTGTTGTGATATTTTTCGAACCTATAATTGGATAAAACTCGGAACCTAACTCACTATCCATTCAACCACACCTACTTTGCAAAGGAAAGGAAAGAAAATCTTTTTTACCCACCTCAATTTTCTCTTCCTTTTCTTTTCACGCCTACCATCTTTGCTTACTTCTTTTTCTCTAACCCATCTTTAGGGGTGTATAGCCGGAGCCGTGGGGAATTGGAAAACCTTGGCTCCGGCTCCGGGCTCCGGGGTTTCAAAATCTTGGCTCCGGCTCCAGCTCCGGGGTTTCCAAAATCTTAGCTCCGGCTCCGGCTCCGCCGGAGCCGGCTCCGGAGCCGGGCTCCGGAGCTAGCTCCCGGAGCCATACCCAGCACTGTACTAGACTCACATTTGGAAAGAAAAATAAGAACTTACGCCATCCAAAAAGGAGTGCCCACAAAAGTCATCCGTTTTCGAACAGTTTCAGTTAATTGACTAGCAACACCAAAATCTGCCACTTTAACATCACCTTGTGACGATAGAAGTACATTTGCAGCTAATTTTAAAAGAATTACTTTTAATAAATTTTTTAAACCTTTAATATCTCTATGAATTTTATTTTCTGAATGCAAATAATCAAGGCCTTTGAGAATTTCTCGGAGAATAATGGCAATGTGTTTTTCTTCTAATCGTTGACTTTTAGTTAAATCTAGCGCTGAACCACCACCCAAATATTCCATTATAATCCAAAGTTTTGAACCCTTTTAAATAATTTTTATATTCCTAAAGTTTAATAGTAGGGTTGTTGGCGACCGGTTATTAACCGGTACCCCCGGTTTTCGGTTAATCTAAATTTTAGAAACCCGGTTTGTTTTGAGTTTTAGACAAATACCGGTTATACATAGTTTGGGGGAATTTTTTAAAAATCACTCATTTTTATGAATTTCCGGTTTTTAATTTTTGGCAAAAAATTTCAAATCGCCAACCTCTATTTAATAAAATAGATTTACCGTTAAATAAGAGCCATAATATCGAGTAACATAAGAACTGTCACATTGAGAGAGAACTTTAATTTCTTGTTGAATGTCCTCAATTTCGTCATCAGCTTCCTCCAAATCAATTATTTTTATGGCTACAACCTAAAAAGAAAATTTAGAAAAGTAAAATTCTAAAAAAATACCTCCGCCGTCCTATTGTCAATACCTTTAAAAACTTCTCCAAAAGAGCCACGGCCAATTCTCTCAAGCTTGGTAAATATCTCATTTGGATCCATTTCTAAAGAAAAATATTAAAATGCTTAAAAAATTTTAAGAAATAAATTTCTTAAAAATTAAAAAAATTTATTTAAATATTAATTGAATAACTAACAAGATTTATATTAAAAACGTCAACAATTTACACATTATTTTTAATCTTTTGTCTAATTAAAAAAGCAGAAAAATATAGTAAATAATTTAAAAATAAACAACAAATGATCACAACATAAAAGTAATTTTTAAATCTGATAATAAAATATAAATTACACTTTTCAAATCACTTTCAAAGAATTTATGCTTTTTTCAATCATCAATGATGATGGTGTTCATGAGAATGATTATGGGAATGACCATGAGAATGATTGTTAGAGTGGTCATGAGAATGACCATGAGAAGCAGACTCGTGGTGGTTATGAATTGGAGCTGGAGAGTTGTGTAAATGTTGTTTTTGAGATGCCCAGGTGGAAGTTGGATCTTTTAGAATCTAAAAAAGAAAAATCAGTCTAGGAAAGAAAGAAAAAAATTTTTAATAGTTGGTAATTAAAAAAGGAATTTTCCTTTTCCAGGGTGACCGCTCCAGAGGATCGGTTACTAGAATATTAATTAAAACAGAAAAATAAAATAACCTGAACGGTGCAATTGTTAACAACAGAACTAAGTTTATTATGAATTGTTCTAAGGACTGCTTGTTCATCTGCATCTCTTCTAACACGAACATCAACAGAACCAGCAATTGTGCTAAAATCAAGTTGCCAAAAGTGAGCATTAATTAATTCTAAAACTCCGTCAACTGTTGAAGCCTCAGAAATAAGCCTAAGAATTTGGGAAAGAAATTTTCAAGAAAATAAACAAGTTACCTATCAATTTGATTCTGAACATGTGGAGGTGTTGTTTGCAATAGAATTTTCCCAGTAAAAGTTGACAAAGGCATAAGCGATGAGAAAACAACAATTGAAAGAGTTAAAGCGGCAGCAGAATCTACCCAATAAAATTCTGAACGAAACCAATGGACAAAAATAGCACAAACAGAAGAAAATAATGAAAGAAGAGAAAGAGAATTAATTCTGGGGAGGAGAAGGCGTGCCAAGCCTGGAACAAAATAACAAAGAGCCGAAGATATATCTGAAGCATGTTCCTCAAAAATAAATTTTTAAAAATATTTTCCTTTTAAAATTAAATAAAAACCTGTATAATAGAAGAATGGGCGTGTTTCAAAACATAAGAGAATGGTTGATCGTTTAGAGCATATGCAACAGTTAAAAGTGAAATAGCACTAGCAAGAATAGATGGGTAAAATAAATACCCAGATTTCTCAATATCGCCTTCCTGTTAAAAAGATAAAGGGTTATATTGAACCTGACAGACCCCATTTTTCCTCACAGTTTCTTCCTATATATTTGCAGAACGGTCAGACTTCTTCCTTCGATTTTCCTTCCTTCCATCCAAGAGGGAATAAAAATTAATTCCTTTTGATTGTTTGTAGGCAAAATATAGAAGGGCAATTGGAATGGAAGAAAAGAAGTCTGGCCATTCTGTAGATATTGAAAAGAACTTGGGGAGGAAGAAATGGGGTCTGTCAGGTACAACAATACCCATAAAAATTAGATTAAAAAACAAAAGATTAGGAAACATAATTTAAAAAAATTAAAAGGAGACAAACTTCATCAAGTCTTTGTTTTTAAAATAAAATCGCAAAAAAAATTACTTGTATAATTGCTGCTTCCCCTCCATGATGACTATGATGGTGTTGACCTCCATCAAAAAATCGTTCAACAGCTTCTTTTGTAAGAAAAACTGCAGAAAGTTGAGCTAACACGGTTGTTGAAAAAACTGCCAAAACTGGGGCTCTGACATACCCATAAGTAAATCTAAAAATTAAAAATTCTCTTAAAAAATCAAAAATTTACTTTTTGTTTCTCGAATGGTGTGATTTACACAAAAATGAAATAATTGCCGAAAAAGCAGCAAAAAATGAAAATACTGATATCCACGTTAACCCAGTTATAACTAACGATCTGGTGACAGAAATGGCATAAATTAAAAATAAAGTAATAATTGCACAAATTGAAACACAAAAACAGGCCTAAAATAAAAATAATTTAATAATAAAATTTAAATAAATTTAAAAACTAAACTTTCGATTATCCGGATCTGTGTATAACAATTTTATCAATTTTCCGTTGATCATTTTAATTAATTAAAATTTAATAAAATAAATTTGGACAACAACTAAAAATAAAAATTAAGTTGGCAAATTTTGGATACAGCCCAATTAGGCGCGCGGCCATAAAGGCGCAAATTCATAAATTGCCTCAAGATTTCCGAATCTTAACAAATTTAGTATTAAACGATTCCTCTCATCGAGCTAAAAAATTAGTCCAAAATTAATAAGGGTCAGAAAATTTTCCAACTAGCTATGGCTTTGCACCGTTATGGTCGCGCGCCTACTTGGGCGTCTCCCATTTACTTAGAGATAAATAATTAAGAGAATGTTAGAGAACAAAAAAAATATTTGGTGACAGTCTGATTAAGCCCTATTCTGTTTAATCTTTCAGCATTACTTTGACGTTGACGAAAATCGAATGCTCCCTTCCGAAAAGGTGGCCGAGCTCACTCTTGTGGGGTCATGGCTCTTATGGCCACCCAGGGTCTCATAAAGAGATTTGGCATTCGACTGCGCGCCTCCGGGCGCGGACTCTCTCAGCCGCAGGTCCAGGGACTTTCCTCAGAATTTTTACAACCACTAAGGCCGTTTCGTGATTCCGAGCATTGAAACATACCGCCACCACGTGGCTTTCGTCTCTTCTTCTTTTACTTTATAAGCAGCAACTTTTCTCGTTAAAATAATTGATGGGAAGTAAAAATGGGGGAGAGAAACATTAACGAGAAAATGAATTTTTATATGTATTTTTTTAAAATAAGAAAGTATGAGAAAAACATTTTCTAATTTATTTAATCATTTTGAATGCGATTAATTTAAAATAAAAAAATGTGAAAACAAGTTTTGTTTTTTTATAAAATTGAAATCTACGAAATGATTACATATTTTTGTCATCAAAGCAACTAACTACAAGAAAACTGAAAATAATAATTTTATTTAAAGCTAGCAAAATGTTAAAATGAGAGACATACTACATAATAGATATTTTTCCGTTATACCATAATTATAGCTCATTTGGCACAGTTTATTAAGTTATAAATCGAGAGCTTGAAATATCTATTAAAATCATAATTATCGTAGATGCTCTAATTAAAGCCCTGGGTGTCTATTTTTCAACGGGTCTCTTTGGATGGGATTATATTAGATATGGGCTTCTAATAGAGCCGGGCTTTAATTAGAGCATCCACGGTTACAAAAATAATAATCTTAATTTTGTCACCACTTCTTTGTCTTTATCACGCAAAAACAAATAATATCTAATGAATAATGAAGGAGTGGCATAACGAAGTACCTAAATATTTAATTAATCTGGCCCTAGCGTATCTCATCATCTGACTTTAATTTTTTATCTATTAAATTCCCAAAAGAATCTTGTTTAGTAGATCGTTTTCCCAAAGCGAGATAATAGGGCATAATTGGATAATAAAAAGACATTGGATAATAATATGACATTAATGTTGTTGGGTAATAAAGTAATTGTGCCTCACAACGATCTGTGCCTAAAATATATTTTTTTATTTTAATTTTAAAACAATTTCTCTACCTTTTAAAACAAAATTGACTGAAATAATCTTCAAAATTAACAAAATAACTGCAAAATTATTACAGCTGAACATTGCTATTTTTCTCACAAAATTGTGAAAATTAATAGGGGAAATGCTAAAAATATTGCTAACAAACGAAATTCTCTTCAATTTTATACTCTTAAACGTTTGCTTGTTTTTTAAGAAGATTACTATTCCAAGAAAATAAAAGTGGAATGTTTTTTTTGTTTTACTTGAATATTACGCTTAATTAACTAAAAACCTAAAATAAGTAACATAAAAAATAACTTTTCATTACAAATTATATCTTTAATGTAAACAAACAAATAATTTTTTTAAATATATTTTTTGATAAATTTATAATAATACATATTATTATTATTTTAATTATTATTTATAGTATATCCTAGTGATGTTCGGGTATCCCGACTTCCACTCGGGAAAATTTCCAGAGTTTTAGGCCTCCCGATCCCGACGTCATTTCCCGAACCGACTCCCGTTTCCCGGCTTCTCCCGAACATCACTAGTAGTATATCCTTTAATAACTACCCTGGGTAATTATTTTTTCGACCTTCAGCTGGAGGGAGTAATTAATCAAGGGAGGGTAATTATACGAGGTTGGAAATTTGAACGTGTTTTAGGGCATTCATTGAAGGGTAATTATTGTTTCAATCTATCGCTGGATGGGGTAATTAATGGAAGTGGGGTAATTGGGGGAGGGCAATTAATACAGGTTTTACGGTATCATATTTGGTTATATTTTTAATTTTAAATCTTTTATTAAAAATTAAATCCTTATCATCTTAATTAACAAATATATTTAGTCAATCAAAACACAATTTTTAATAAAAATATTTCTTTTAATTTTTTTATATTTTTGGCATCTTAAGTGGTTGATTGCTTTTTTTTATTTATTCTAATCACTTAAAAGTGGGTTTTAGGTTATTTTTTGCTCAAAAGATGTTCTTAAAAACTTTAAAATAGTGCAAAATACTTTTATATTTTTTTGTAGATTTTTTGTTTAAATAAAAAATTGTTAATTGACTTTTTTTTTAATTTAGTAATTAAACAATGATTGTTTGCAATTTAATTAATTATTTGTAATGAAATTTTATGTTTGCAATTAAAATTTTTTGTCTTTAAAAAATTTTTCTTCGATTTTTACTGAATTAAAAGGTTTTCTTGAAAAGGAAAAAAGGAAAAAAACTCCATATATGTCTATTGTTAAGAGGGAAAAATTTGCAAGTATTAAGTGACTATTTATTAAGAATATATCTGGTTTTTTAACAATAATTGTTTTGATCAGACACTTACTTTTATTTATTTTTTTGTCTGATACCTTTCAAAATATGTACAGGGGGGGGGGTGATTTTTTTGAAAAAAAATATTTTATCAAGGGAAATTAGGTGAAAGGAGGAAACGATATGTGAAATACATATTTTGACTTAGCTATTTATAGAACGAGTTTAGCAAAAGTATAGCCACTGGGCCGGATTCGAACCTGCGAACACCTCGTAGTTATTGCTAGGTTATTGCTCTTCAGTTTTTTATTAAAAATATATCCTTAACCCCCGTCTAAACGTTTTAACTGCTCTAGGTGAATCATCCTTACATAATTTAATTTTTAATAAATTAAGTATTGAACATTCGGAACTATAAAAAGTGGAAAACCTTAAAAATCTTTCCAAAACACGAAGAAAAAAATATTTTGAGTATATCTTTTGTTAAATATTTCTTCCAAGAAGGATAAAAAATAAAAAAAAATATTTGTGCCTTGCTGTTAATAATTTTTTGTTTGCACAACTTTTCACTAAAAGTTAAAATGAACACATTAAGAACTTGGCCCTTGTTCTCAGCTCTTAAAAAAGATTTTCTTTTCTTTTTTATTTTTTGGGGCGGATTTAGAAAGGATATATTAAAGATATAAAAAGACAAGTAAAATATTCTTAAAATCATTCACAATCAGCTCCAAACAACAAAAAACTTTTACAAGAATTTCCTCAGTTCTTAACTAATCTTAAAAATGCAATCCAAAATTAAAAATAATTTCCTACCCTTACTTTTATTTTCAATTTTGGTTTGTGTTGTGTTAATGAGTGGACAAACCGAGGCTTATGGATGGTGGAACCCGTGGTCCTATTATGGTGGATATGGAGGATATGGAGGTTATTATGGTAGTTATGGTAAGTTAGGAGAGAATAATCTCATTAAATTAATTTTTTAATTCTTGGGGATACCAAATCTTTACAATTAAGCATACGTAGGAGTTTAATTCAAAATTTAAAGAATAAAATATCCAAACTAAAAAATTGAGGATTTAATGAAATAAATTAAAATTTAGTAAATCCTTGAACTTTTAAATAAGAGCCTGCCCGATTTACAATTTTAATTTAAAGGATGGCCATACTATGGATATGGGGGATATGGTGGAATATGGAAACGTTCGGCTGGGTTTGGATTAGAAACAGAAAAATCTCCAAATTGACGATGACAAAGCAGTAAAATTAATAAAATAAATTTTGTGGTCTAAATTATGGAATAAATTTTGTAGATTTTCAATCAATAAAAATTTCCAAAAATATTTTGACAATTTTTATTTTAAATTAAATTTTAATATTTAACAAAAAAACATAAAATTGATGAGATCAAATAAAATGGATATGGTGTAAAGAAATAAAATAATAATATGTTTTAAAATAGTAATCACAATTATTTTTAAGAATAGAGATTGAATTTTAAGAAAAATAAAGATATGTAGTATTTAGGGTTGTCGGTACTGGACTGAACCGAACTAAAAAACCGATGATTTTTCGGTTCGGATATTGGGTCCAACAAATCACTTATCCCACCGCTAATCTTTTTTCGGTTCGGTTCTTCGGCTCGGTTCCGGATATCAGAAGATTTTCCAAAAACCGACAACCCTAGTTGTATTTGTTTAAATTATCGAAATATCCTCTCATAAAAGAACATCCTGATCATCAAGAAATCGAATTTGTGTACTTTCTGTACTACAACCACCACTTATGCCATTATTATTATTATTGTGTAATAAAGTTATAGAACTTTTGTGAAGTGTAGATTTTCGAGAGAAGGGCCAATTGAAAGGAGAAAGTGTTGTGGAGAAAGTGTTGCCAGAAGAAAAACTGAAAAATAAATTTTTAAAGTTAAATTACAAAAATTAATTTTCTAACCGAAAAGGAGGGGAAGGAGTCATTGGTCTACTAGCTAAAGATAATTTAGCTTCAGATAATCTAGATCTACTCCGAATATTGAAAGTTGAAGCTTTCCATCCTTTCCCAGCAATTAATTGTCTAATACATTCAATTAAAGATTTAAGAGTTGAGCGGTATTGTGAAGATATTAATGGATAGACTATGAAACAAGTGTTGCAATTAATTAAAGATAATAAATCTAAAAGTTCTCCAAGTGATAAATAAACAAATTGGTGGATATCATTAGGAAAGAGACCATTAAGTATAGCCAAGATTCCTTTAAAAATAAATTTTTATTAATGTTACATTATATATCTAAATTGAAAAAATTCTAGTCTAAGTCTAGTCTAAGTCTAAAATTCTAGTCTAAATTCGGGTACACACCAACCCACCGCGAGCTCAACCTACTGCCGAGGCTATAACTTCGTTCAAAATTGTCGAATCTGAGAAAACTTGGTATGGTTGGATTCAGCTTATCGAGGCGTATCGAACCATACCAAGAGGTCCCTGATTCGACAATTCTGAAGGAAGTTATAGCCTCTAAATTCTAGTCTTGATTTGGACAAGAATTTAATTTGACTACCAACATTTATCGATATATAATTTTTGATTTTTAACATAATAATTGAATTAATATTAAAATAAAATTTTCTAAAAATTCCCAAAATTTCCCAAATCTCTCTCTCCCTCAAATGACTCCTAATTTAATATTTTAATAATTTAATTTTAAAAATTAACACACCTTGTGGAAATTCAGTACTGAAGAAAACAGTAAGTAATATCAACTAAAATAAGAAAGAATAAATTAAAAATTTAAAAAATAAAAATTACAAGTATTTTAGTTGTTCTATCAGATTGCGCTGAATGCCTTCTATAAGCTAATGTTGCCCCCGAACACATTCCTTTCCTCTTTCGTCTGTTTTTCTCCAATTCATATAAAAGTGCAAGGGTAAAAAGGAGAAGAAGAATGCATGGAATTACCTAATTAAATTAAATTTTTAGAAGTTATTGGACATTTTTTGTGGACTAATTACGAAATTGGACTAAATTTCGTGGACTAAATTGCGAAATTTAATTTTAGAAATTATTTGACAATTTATTTTTTTATTATGATTATTTTTAAACAAACATCATTATTTTATTATTATTTATTTAAAATTTTAATTACGTAAAAGATTAATTCTCTTTTATTTTTATGTCAAATTAATTAACTATAGTTTAATCCCCAAATAAACACGTCAAAAACGCTTCATTTTTTAAAAATCTTTTTTTTTTCAAAATTCAATAATAAAATAATTAATTAATCGTGTATTTACGTATATTTAGGTATTTTTATTTAGTAATTTGTTTATATATTAAATTAATCTTTAAAAATTAATTTTTTTTTAATTTTTAAAAGAAAAAAATTGCTTTTTTAAAATTAAATTTAGATAAAGAAAAATTTAGATTAGTTATGCTCGGGAGAAGAAAAAACCCGGGAATCGGTAAACGGGAGTCGGGAACGGGAGGCCAAAAATTCGGGAAATTTTTCCAAGCCGGGAGTCGAAATAAAGAAAAAATTGGGAGGTATTTTTGTATTTGTTTTCCCCCAAAATTAAATAAATTTAAAAAAATAAAAAATAAGAGAGGAGATTAAATTAATTAAATTTTCTTCTTAAATTATAATTTTTATTTTTAAAAATTATTTTTAAGATAATAATTATGTATATATTTTTCAATTTTAATTAAAAATTACATCATTATTATTTAAATATTTGTTTATATATTTTTTAAAAATTTTATTTTTATATTTTATCTCACGTATTTCAAAGTACAAATTTAATATAAGATTTATATTTAATTGGTGTTTGGCATTAAAGTGTTAAAAATTAAAAAAAAAAAGTTAAAGGCAAACAAATTTTAATTCCGAAAAATTAATGTCAGAAAATTAGAAAAGTGTGTAAAACGAAAACATGTTTTTTATGAATTTTTAAAAAAATATAGGTATTTGTTTTTTTGTTTTTGTTTATTGGTTGTGCATATATTAATCAGTAAATGTTAAAAAAGGAAAAAATAAAATTTAATTTTAGAATTTAAAAATAATTTAAATAAATTAAATACAAGAAAATAAGAAATTGTTTTTTAATTTTAATTTTAATTAATTATTTACCGAAAATTTTTTTTTGTTTTTGACAGTTTATTTATTTCCTTTTCTAATTTAACAGATGAATAAACAATTAATGGACTGGAAATTGAGGGGAATCCTAATTTTGGTCAAAAAATGGATTTTTTAAATTTATTTTTAATTTATTTTTAATTTAAAAAAGTAATTATTATTAAATTGAATTTTTTGGAAAGGCCAAAATTAATTTTTAATTTCTAGACAAAAAATATTTAAGCATAATTTTGTATTTATAACATATTATTTTTACATTAATTCTAATTTTTTAAATTTCCGTTTTTAAAATTCTATTTCAACTAAAAAATTATTTTTTTACCTTAAAAATAATTCCAGTCATCCACAAATTTAATTTAAAGAAAAAACAAGTATCAAGCCTTTTAAATTCTGCCAATCCAACCTTTAAATTAATTTAAAAATTAAAAAAAATAATTTTTAAAAAAATCCCAACAGTGTAAAGTGTTATATTCTCTCCATTTTTAACATTTTTAGCAACAACAGGAATTATTGAATGAATTAAAAATGTTGGAATACACAAAATAATTGTGAAGGCAGCAACGAGGAGAAAAACGGGGCTAAAAATAAAAATATTTTTTGAAGAATTTTTAAAAAATATTTTTAAAGGAGAAACATACAAGGCAATATTTTCGTGATTCCAAAGAGATCCAATCTGTTTTAAAGTTTTATATCGAATAAAAGCTGTAGCTACAGACAAATATAAAGTAATTGTATGTAGAGCTTTAAACAATTTATTTAAATAAAACTATTTTCTAACCCCTACATACCTATACTACAAACAACGTGGGCCAAAAGAAAAATAATCCAAATAAAATTATATCCAACGGGAGGTTCTTCTGGATTCACTGCAAAACCAAATCTTACAATAAAAACTGTGTAGGAAAACATTGTACAAATGTCACAAATTGCAATTATTGAAAGCTAAGAAATAAAATAATATTTTAATTAATTAAAAAAATTTTTGTATTGAGAAAATTGACAGAAAAAATTTGTTTCGTTTAAAATCAAAATTAAACATGATTCAATATGTCCCAAAAAATGTTTTTAAGGATTAAAAATTTTTGAAGTTAAAAATAAAAATATATAGATACGAAATAGTAGGTATTCTTTAATTTTAAAAAATTTAACAGCAATTTAAAACGTAGTATTTAAAATTGTTAAGAATTTAAAAATATTTTTAAAATCAATTACAAAGACGTTCGTTTGTCCACATACATATAAATTATACTAATTAATTTCATTTTTCAATTTAACTAATTAAAAATTAATTTCTCTCACCAATCTATTAACGGCGCATTTTTGCATAGCCGGCCTGCTTAAAACAAAGATATGGACAACATTTGCTAAAGAACCAAAAACACAAATAAATAGACCAACATAGCAATGAATTTGATTATATAAACTATTTAAATTTAAAAATAATTTTTAAAAAATTTTTAGTAAATTAATTAATTAATTTTTTTAATATTTATCTTGTATCTCTCATATTTAGAAAGAATTTAAAATTTAAATTTTATCCAAAAATTCTGTCTACATTTTTAGACAATTTTCTAAAAATTTACTATTTACTTTGAAATAAAATAGGTATATTTAAAAAATTATTTCCTTTCCATTTTTAAAAGTTAAAAAGAATCAAATTTACAAAACAAACAAAAAAAGTCTTTCAAAATTTCTACTTTTATGTGAAAATAATTTTAAACTTTTTTTAAAAATATTGTAAATGTCTAAAAAATAAAAAAATTAATTTTTGTAAACAATTTTTTAATTAATTAAAAATAATGGGAAAATTAATAAAAATAAATTTAATTTTTTTAAATTAATTAAAAAAAGTTTTTCTAAAAATAGAGGAAATAAAAACAAATTTAGAGAAAATATTATTACAAAAATAGAAAATGTGTATGTTGCAAAAAATACTTTTTTTAAATAATTGGTTAAATTATTATTTAAAAAATAATAATTATAAGAAATATTTTGGAAATAAAAATTCTAAAATTATATAGAAAATAAATTTTTAAAAATTAAGATTTCGTCATTAATATAATTAGGTAATAATTATTCTTAGACTAAAGAATATTTAAAATAAATTTAATATATTTAGGTATAATTTAAATTTAAAAAATTAAGAATAATAGAGTAAAAAGTGGGAGCATGCCAACTTGCCGCATAGCTATAACTTCGTTCAGAATTGTCAAATCCGAAACGCCTTTGAATGATTCGATGTGCCTCGACGAGCTCAAGGTCGTCCCGGATAATTCTAAACTGCGGTAAGTTGGGCTCGGCGGTAAGTTGGGGTTTACCCGTAAAAAGTTTAAATTTTTGTAAATAAGTGAATTTATATTTTAGGTAGACTAATTATTTTTATTATTTTCTAAAATCTCCAAAAACTTACTTTGAAATATTCCAAAGAGTCTCAAGAAATGTAATTGTTGCACTGCTATTTAAATCAAATAGGCTAAGCTCTTCATCACAAATCATTAATTTCATTTTTTAAAAATATTTTAATATTCTTTATTATCTAAAAGTAAAGAAAATATTTTAAATAAAAATTGAGGGAATGGAATTTTTTGGAATTAAAAGATTTTAGTTGGAAATATAATTTAGAAAGGGCATAAAAATGAGTCGTCTAAAACTGCAAAAAGATTAAAATGAATTTTATTTTTTTTCTGTTTTTGAATTTGCTCTTAAAAATGTTAGAAAAAATTTGATTTTTATTAAAACAATTTTTCAGAATTTACGTAAATAAAATATTTAAATTTTTATGAGAAGAATTAGAAAAAGTATTAAAATGAAGTGTAATATGTGAATTAAAAAAATTATTTTCAAAAAAATTTTTAGAAGTTATTAAAAAAATGAATTAAAGTAATAATATAAAGATGTATTAATTTAAAAAAATTATTATTTATTTAATATATCCCCCCCCCCCCTCACCCATCTAAATTTTTTTTTGAATAAATTTAATCCTTTTCTAATTAGGTCTGTGCCTTATAGAAAATAAAGTTAGTAGCTAGCTTAGATATTCTTTTACTCATTTAAAAGGAAAAGCTAAAGAAGAAGTGAATAAAAAGGGGCGGGGAAAGGAAAAAGAGAAATTTATTTGAAGGGCGGAATTAAAAGATATGTAATTATTATTATTTTTTAAATTTTAAAATATTTTTGATAGATCAAGTTTGGGTCGAAATTATTCTTAAAGAAGTTCTCAATTATTCATTAAATGAAATTATAGGAAATTAAAACAATTTTTTATTGTTAAAAATTAAAAAGCATTATAATAAATTAAATAAAATTTTATTTAAATATTTTGGATAAAAATAGGCAAAAAATTCTGTACCACAAATTTTTTCAAAAAATTATAGAGTATGATAATTGCTATATTAATGATTTTTAAATAATTAATTTATTTTATGTTATATATAAAAGCGTCAGATTAAAATATAAAAGAATTATATCAATGAAGTCACTGATATACTAATTAAAATAAATTTAATTAACAGATAATTTAGATAAATTTTTTTATTTTTTATTGATAAATGAATTATTACACTATTGGTGAAAAAGAGTTTAGGGAGTTCTACCTTAGAAGCCGGGCTTCGTCGTAGACGTAATTACGAACGATTTAAAGATTACTGCATAGTTTTGGTAATAATGATTACAAAATTTTTTTCCATAATTATAAGATATCCCCCCTGATTATTAAAAGTTGTTTAAAGATATTATGGCAGTATTTAAAGAAAGAAAGTTATTTAATTTTTAGATTTATTTTTTGTTATTATTTCATGGAAGTATAAAAAATTTAGAATGTTTAAAACAATGTTAAATTAAAATTTCATTAATCTGAATTAATATAGAAAAGAGCAAAAAATATTTTAAAAACTAATTTTATTTTTAAAACAGAAAAGGGCAATTTACAAAAAAAGTTTAAAAAATAGTAAATTTTTTGAAAAAAAAGGAAAAATGTTAAACTCTCAGAATTTCTTTATGGTTGAGTAATTATATTTAGCTAATTTTGTTTTTAGAAAGGAAATTGAAGATAAAAAGGTTTTTGCAAGGTATTTTAAATTTTTTAAAGGGAAAAAATTTAAGCTATCAATAATATAAGGTTCTTGCTTGTTTAATAAATAAAATTCTTGTTTCTTAAATAAAATAAAAAATTAAAACATGTTAGTAATTGAAAGAGGAAATTTATTTTTAACTTAATAGTTTAAAAATTTAAAATACTTAACTATTTACTTCTCTTTAGTTTAAAAAATTTTTCAAATTAATGAATTAACATTTAAAATATTTTTTTGATATATTAAAAGGAAATAAATAAAAATTGAAACAAACAAAATTTAATTTAATAAATTTTAATTTAACAATGTTAAATTAAAATTAGGGATTAAAAAATATTTTAATTTTTTAATGTTTGAAATGTTGTTTGAGAAAAGATAAATTGGGAGAAAATGCATTTTTTCTTTCAGAGACCCCTCATAGAAATCAGCAACGAAATCTGCGTTTTTACTACAAATTTTCAAGTTTCGAGATTTTAATTTTAGAGTAGGCATTTATAATTAGAGTTGGCCGGTATCGTGATTTAGAGAAACACCGGGATCGGGATTTTGGAATGGTGATCCCGATCCCGATCCCGGCTCGGGATCGGGATCATCCAAAACCGGGATCGGGATACACTTTTCGGTCTCGGGATCATAAAAATCGGGATCGGGATTCGAAAAACCCGGGATAATCCCGCCCGATCCCGACCGGGATCCCGATCCCGGCCAACTCTATTTATAATTCACAAAGTCCTCACTACAGGCGGTTTGGATATCCTAAACCGAAAAAAGTTGGATATCTGAAATTTTCGGTTTGGTTCCTGCTAATGCCAAGAAGTTCCCCGAACCCCTTGAAAGAATCTCCACCGAATATTGTCGTATATATAAACCAAAAATGTGCCGAAACAGATTTTTAAAAGATGAAGGGCACACCCCTGTTAAAACCCTTGTAATTTTTTCAAATAATTTCTACTCTTTTTAGAAATTATTCAAAAATAAAAAATAATTAAACCAAAATTGTTTACTTAATTTAGAAGAAAGGAATACATTTTAGGTATGAAATTTGTTAAAAAAATAAAATTGATAAGAGAATTATAATTAAAGAGAAATTTTCCAATGATTTTTAAAATTATTTATTTAAAACAAAAATATTTTTCAATAAAAAAATAATATTTTAAAATAATTTCCGGTGCAAAGCTATTTTTGTTTTTTTTTGAAAAAGAAACCAATAAAAACACAACAAAAAAACAAAACACATAAAAGCATGGTCAACAACATTTTTGGCTTCTTCTAAAAAAAGAAATAAATTAAAGTGAATCCTTGGAAGAAAGGAAGAGATGAGGGAATAAATAAATAAGTAGAAGAATTGAAGTAAAGGATGGGGGGGGGGGGGGATAAAGAGGGGAGAAGAGAAGGGGAATTAAAAGGGGGACAATTCATTCATCCCCTTCTTTGGCCTTATATTTTAATTTCTTCTCTCCTTTTCGTCATTACAATTTTGTTTTTTTTATTTTATTTTAGTCCAATAACCCAAGGGGATTAATTTTGCTATTCCGCACAATTTCTTAATCTTGTCAGAAAAATAAAAGTAAAAGCGTCAATCCACGTTGATAAAAAGGAAAAAATGTTTTTGTAGGTTTTCATTATTTTTGTTTCTTTTTTTCAAGTTGCGCAAGTAATAAAAAAAGTAGAAATGTGCGTAAATAGAATTAAATAAAAATTTTTTACATTAATTATTTAGAAGATATAATTTAAAAAATTATTATATGTATATTGGTAATTAAAGGATTACGCAAAAATAAATTTAATAAAAAAATTTTGAGAGAGAATTTTGATTTTAATTTTAGTGTTTACAATTACGGCCGAGACATTTTTTCGGGCTTGATTATATCGAGTCGGGCCTATACGAGTCTTTTTCGGGCCAAATATCTTAGGCCCGACTCGATCCTTCGGTTTAGACGGGCCATTTTGGCAATCCTATCTACAATAAATAAATATATTTTATAAAAATTATTTTAATTAAAAAAATAATAGGTATTTAACTCTGTTATTATTGACTAATATATTTTTAAGTACATTTATAATTTTTAAAAAATAAGAAAAAAACTATAAAATGGATGTATTTAGTTGTTGCTAAGTAAAAAAAAAATATAAATATAATTACCGTATTTCCTAAAATAGTACTCCCGGGAGTACTATTTTTCAACCCTCCTCCAAAGGGGAGTACTATTTAAGGGGGGAGTACTAATTCAGGGGGGAGTATTATTTTTCAACCTACCTCCATGATTTATCTTAGGAAAATTTGTCTCAAAAGTTTAAATGTTTAAATCAATTAGAGTTCGTAATTTGAAAAATGCCGGATCCAAATTTGGATTTTCAAGAAATGTGGATTCCAAATTAGTATAAAATTGAGCAACTTGCGAGACTTTTAAACACAAGTGACTTAAAATAGGGTTATTGAGGGAAAGCAAAAAGGATATTAGTGGATTTGGAGTGATATCCAGGGGTATAATGGGATTTTAAGCGATTAAGAGATATCGATAGATTAAGTTGGATGTCGAAAAAATTATCAGGATTGAGAAGGATATTGACGTTTTAGCGGATTAGTAGGGATGCCAGGTAATTTTTGATTAAAAGCGATATCGTGAGATTTGAGGGGATAAAGTTGATATTAAAATATAATAAAATGATTATCAATAATAATAAAATGATATTAATAAAATGATTATCAATTAATTTTTTGGGATATAGTGGAAATATCTCTGTCTAGGAATTTATCAGGGGGTTAACTAGTCTCGTGTGTATCCCTCTATTAACTAATCTCATAGGGTTAACTAATCTTGTGTGTATTCCCCTCAAATCCCTTCATCAAACCTTAATCCAATGATATCTTTTAAATCCTACTTGATCAATCCAGAACCCATTTTATCATCAGATATCAATCCCTTTATATCCCCCAAAATCCACTTTTACCCCACCAATTAACCGGATTGTATTTCTTTAATCTCCGAAAAATTTTAGGTTAAAATTTCAGTTCGTTTTCGGTTAACCGAAGGCTTTCCGGTTTTGTTTATCGGAGAATCAAGTGAAACCGACAACGCTACTTAGAATAAATAAAATAATTCAATGAGTCTCTTTTTATTTTTTCAAATATAGGAGAAAAATTTTTAGGGGGGAGTGCTATTTTAGGGGGAGTACTAATTCAGGGGGGAGTACTATTTTTCAACCCTCCTCTAAAGGGGAGTACTATTTAAGGGGGGAGTGCTAATTCAGGGGGGAGTACTATTTCAGGAAATACGGTATTTATTTTTACCAATTTCCTTTTAAAAAATTGTTAGAGACTTGTCTTGTGCTTTTTAAATAATTTTTAAAATTATTTTTTAATTTTCTATTAAATTAATTTTAGGTAAATTGGATAATTAAATAAATTTAAAACAGAATTTTTTGTATATTTAAA